GTACATATTTATTTAGATTTGTCCTATTATTAGGGAAACCTGTTGGACAATAAACTATTATTATTATTATTATTATTATTATTAAAAAAAAAGGAATTGGAAGTGAATGTGGAAAAAACAAAAATGATGGTGTTTGGGAAGAAAGTAAGAAAGGAGAAGGAAGAGTGGGCATGGAGAGGGAAGAAGATTGAATAGGTGAAAGAATTCCAGTACTTAGGATATACATTAAAGAGCAATAACTCAGATAGAGCGCATATTCAAGAAATGGTCCTAGAAGCGAACAAAATGATAGCAATAATAGTATGTATGGGGAATAGGAGAGAGAAAATTTAGACATGATTATAAGAGAAGAATGATGATGTTTGATTGTTTGATCAAAAGTGTATTTATGTACGGAGCTGAGATCTGAGGATGGAGGGAATATGAAGAAAAAGGGACAGTGCAAGAAAACTACATAAAATGGACATTGAGATTGGAAAAGTATACGCCGGGGTATATAGTGAGAGAAGAAACAAAAAGGGAGAAAATGAGAATGGAAGCGGATAAAAGGGTGGTTGGATTTGAAGAGAAGTTCAGTGAGAGAGGTAATTGTAAAATATTCCAAGAAAATATTGAAAGAAATAAGAAAGGAAGGGGGAAAACATGTTTGGAACGAAAGAGACAAGTATTATGAAGGAAAGAGATATGCATGTGAAGAAATAGAGAGAATGAGACAAAATAGGAAGGAGTATGAAAGAAGAACTGAGTGTAAGAGATAAGAATATAGATAAGCAAGAACGCAGATTGAGAATATAGGAGTCTAGATATAATGAAGAGTATAGAAAAATAGTAAAGGATGAAGTACCAAAGGACACAGATAAAGATAGTATAAAAGAGAAAAGAATGATGGCGAGATTTAGGTGTGAAAATGAAGAGAAAGAGAATAATTTTTGGATGGATGAAGCTAACAGAAGGTGTAGGATACGTTGGAGAAAGGGAGAGAAAGGGGTGGGCCAGCAGAAAAAATAGAACAATTATTATTATTAGATAAAACTCGAATATTTATTTTATTTATTTATTTATTGATTTAAGTATTTGTATTATATAGATTAAGTTAATTTGTACCCCTATTGGGAATCTTATTAAGCCTGTAAGGCAAATAATAAATTAATACTACTATTAATTAATTTATGAGTGAAAATTTGTATTCCTTTAGTTTTTTCTGCAAAATCCTCCCAAAATCTCATTCGTTCCACGGACATATTGCAAAACAACAAAACAACATTAATAGGTAGTTTATAAACAGATATAAACATTTTCGCTCAAATGCCGGTAAATAATACAGGGTAATCAAATCATAAAATATTGTAGTTAAGGAAGGCCATGACTTTGCTGACATTGTGTGCCGCCTTTCACAGTTTGTGTAAACTAACGCCCCCCCGATCTCCTGACTTTCAACATTTGGATGGATGAAGGACAGCGTTTATAAAAATAGAGTCCTCACATTGGAAGAATTAATGGATAAAATTACACGTTTTTGTAACGAAAATCTTAATGAAGAAGTGTTGCAATACATTTTTGAAAATAAAAAAAGAAGAGTGGCTTTGTGTTTGCGGGAAAATGGACAACAGTTTCAACATCTTTTATAAAATATGTACACGTGTATTTTACATTTTATTACATTTGTGCTAAATAAATGAATGTGCTCAATAAACAAAATTGGATGCAAAAGTGTATGTAGGAACTGCAATAAAGTTTTTTATCTTCAGTAACTTCTTGATTTTTGTTTCTGTGCTAGTTGCTTTCTCTTAATTTAAAAATCTTGCACACGATTTTTAATAGATTAAAATTAAGCTGTTTAAATCCTCAGGAATGGAATTTCTTACAAATTTGTCGGCATAATTGCTACACGATTAACAAAGTTTCTTGTAATTTTCTAAATTAATATAAAGCTATATTGTCACGTGCTCCCAAAAATCTTCAAAAAAAAAACCACACAAATAAGATAAAAATGAAAACTTTTAGAGGAACTCAAGAGAAAATCTATTTTTCCAAAATAACCAAAAACATTAAAAAAAATATATAACTCTTAAAACTACTTACCTAGTTTACTCGTATGTCGCCATGGGCCACCACACACACTTTCCCTTCCGAAGTTCTGGAACGAACCCAGGAAGACAATGTGTCTAATGTGACAATATCATTGAGGTCATTGATCATAACCATTTAATAAATTTTTGCGCTAAATTAATGTTTGTTATTTTTATCTAATAGATTATAATTTTTGAAACGAATTTAGATTTGTAGGCAATAGTAAACTCGACAATTTTTGATTAAAAAATTAACTCATTAGAAAAAACTTTTTGATAATTCAGTATAAAATTTAGACGATTAGGTATTGTTTCATGTTAATTTAGGATAAACACAAATTAAACAATATATACAATCATATTCATAAAACACTGGTTTTTTATAAATTTTATTCACTGGTGACGTTTTGTTGGTTGGGTATTTTTGTTACATCCGCTAAATTTGCAATCTGTGAATGCGCCCAAGTAATGTATTCATCATTTTCCATAGAAAAATGCGGAGAAAACGCAAGAAAACAGTAAATTATGCACTACACCTTACATATTTTGATTTCAGAAACCAAGCAATGTGGAAATAGTAAGCAACTGCAAAACTAGTTTGTTACCGATGCACAAAAATTTTTCAAGCACTGTAATGTTGGTTGCCTATTTATGAATGATTCAAATTTACTTGATCTCTTTATTTTTTTGGCAACCCATTGGGCTAAAATCATATTTAATTAATTTGTGATTAATCATGCTAATATTTGGGGTCGCTTATTGTCACTGAGCGCAACCTCCTCAATCGAGAATAGAATTGTAGGTATATAGAACAGTTCGACGTTTACCGTTTTTTTTTACTAACTCACCACCAAGGGACAGCGCCTCTCGGACCTTTTGTTCGGACTTCCATCAACTGATAAAATTGGCACCCAGACGCGGGAGTTAACACAGTTCTTGAATCAAATGTTGCTGTTAACATTCCATAATTCAACATTATTTTTTAAGGATACAACTTTATTAAAGAAAATAGTAATTGTATTGATAGAAAAAAATAATTTCTGTTAACAATTTTTGCATTACATCTTTTTTTGTATACTGCGGTAGCACGGTTCATTTGAAATTTGTGAAAATTAAACACAGTGTCAAAATTCAGTTAAATATATTAAAACATAAATTAAATAAATTCAATAAGTTAAAAGAAACAATTATTCCACTCATTTTGACATAAACATTCATTTGGCTGAATCAACCATAAAATACAGTATTTACACTTAACGCTATTAAATCAATAATTAAAAATTTGTATATCAAAACGTAGGTACATATAAATCATTTACTAATCTGTTACGAATTATAGTAATTTTTTAATATCAATAACAAATTTGTTATTTATTACAATATACTTATTTGAATATTTATGAAGCCATTAGCCATGAGACACTAAATACTGTCAATAAATCAAAAATAGTAATAACAAGATAACAAGAAATGACAAGTTTAGAGCCGATGTTACTAGCACGAGTTAACTTGCACGTAACTTCAACAGTCAATTTTTTGAGACTGACACTTCATGTATAGCGAGATTGTCTCAAAGGTAGTGATCACGGGAGTACTTTCACTGTAAATAAATTACTTATAGTTACACTTGTAACATATTCAAACATCTCCCTTCTGTAAATTTTCGCTCTCTTTCTCTGTAACAAACATTACAAGTTTGTCAAAATATGTAGTTAACGTTTCAGGAAAACACATTACGTGAACAAACTCACTTCGAGTTACTGTATGACGTACGACGATTTATCACAATTTACGTCAGACAAATTTCAATTCGTCAAAGTGTATGGTGCAAATTAAGACGTACGATCACGAAAATAATCGTCACTTAAAAACAAAACGGGCATCGTTTCTTGTTGATGGTGCTTTAAATTTGAAATGTGTCGTAACAATTCATTTCAAAATCTATAAATACCTAGCCACAAAATACATTTTTATACAGGGTATGTACAAAATTGTACGATTTAAAAATTTCACACAATGGAAGACCGTGATTACTAATACAAGTTCTACCACTTTCCAGTACATATTAACTCTGTGTGTCACAGTCTCTCTTGATTAGAAATTTTTCAATCGTATGGAACTATAGACATATGTACATCGGAATAAATATTATCACCTATATCTAACTTAACCTAAAATTACAGTGGTGCCACCAAAAACGATTTTATTCAAAAGGACTTTCGCTCGGAACGTTTGTTAAGAAAAGGCGTGTTGACACAAAGTAACTTTGATTGAAATCGTGTTCGGTCGCACCACAATATATCGTTCGGACACTGAAAAGAATATACCTATAAGCAATACGAGTAGGTACAAAATGAGTTTACTGTCGATCTTGGCACGATCTAAATATTCGAGTTTTGCAATCCGGTTAACCCTGGTGTTTCCTAGAATTTTTAATATTTTATGCTCCTGTAAAATACTAACGTCAAAAACTCACATTTAAATGCCCCGGGTACATTTCCAGGCGTGTTGTTAGAAAGAACGACGTTTCTGTCCGAAATGCGTTTTCGAACCTCTGATGATCAAGATTCTATTGGCCACATTTTGACATTTTTGTAGCTTCAAAGTTGGTATTCTAACCCGCTATTTCTCTTGGGAAAAGTTGTTGTTAAATGTTCATCTGGTAGTTGTTTAATGGCGATGAAGATTTTAGCTGCATTGTAGTCGTAAACTGTGGAGACACCTACGTTGTAAAATTAAGCGGGACTTACATAAATGTTTTTAAAGTGTATTAATCTAAATACCTTAGTTTACTGTGCCTTCTAGTTATTTCCAGATTCGATGGTTTTTCGCAAGATGAGTCACATTGTCGTGATGAAGATTTTACAACAACTTTTTTCTAAAATGACGTGATTAGATAAAACAGAATATGTAATGGTGACGAACACTCACCTAAACGAAAATGTTGCAGTTCTCTGGCAGAACGTATAGTTGTCAAATAGAAAAATTTTTAAAACAAAATCATTTGTCCATACTTTATATTGTGGTTTTTCATTTTTATTTTACTTGGAAAAAGAAAAAATGGAGGACGTTATTTCGAAAGTTAATTTACGAGAAAATGTATTAGAGCAGTCGACTATGTCGTATAGACTACAATTATTTGAAATCAAAATACTGCTTCAATAACCTGTTCATTCATCTAAAACTACTGTAAAAATTCTGTGGAGTGTTGTTTTATTTGAAAGCACGGTGAATTTAAGAATATTGAGAATAAAGTTGATGGTGGCAAATATGTTTTAATTTGAACAAAAAAATAACATTTTCTATTCAAATCGAATGAACCTGAATAATAAACAATTGCGAAAAACTGAGTACAACAAGGTACCTACACGTCCAGAATTCTGCATAAATGTTATAAAAGAACACAAAAAATTAATTGAAGCAGCAAAAAAGAACTATAAGAATTATTTAATGGAATCTTCTTCTAATAAAAATTGAATAGCAGGCAAAAAAAACAAAGAGAAAACTCAAATGCGACTTAACGTAAATGTTCTAATAAGAAATGTGCAGTACTTTATCGAAGCTACAAAACAGTATCATTATAATATGATACATAAAAAAATAGCACTGCATGTGGGCCAAAAATAAACTCTGTCATTTTAAAACATTGTGCTCTTCAGATAAAAACATATTAACAATCGTAATAAACAATTCTTTTAAGGTTGTAAAATTTCTAAATTGTCAAAAAATTATAAAAATTTTTTCCAACATTTAATGATGATCCAACTAAAATGACTAATTTACACACCGATATCAAACTTAAGTTGCTTTTCCAAAATTATAGAAAAAATTGCTGCAAAAACATTGTAAACATTTCTAAAGAAAACTGGACGAAATCAACTCGGTTTTCCACAAGGAAAATCACCGTCAACGGTAACTATTCAATTCCTGAACATACTTTACTAAAATATTGACAAACACAAAAACTGCGTTTCTCTTTTTATAAATTTGAGCAAAGCATTTGATCTTGTTAACACGATAAATTGTTGGCTAAACTTTGGCAAAATGAAATTAGGGGATTAGAACGGGAGTGCGCCATCCTCGATATCTCATCTATTAAAAAAGTTGGAGACCAAAATTATATGTTTCTTAGATTATTTTCAACACTACGGACCGTAGTGTTTTTGATGCGCAACTAAGTTTCCTTAAGCGAAACACGCTATATATTTTTCCTACTCTAATTGCACTGGTCCTAGACTGGCTCATTTTTCAAATGTTGATGCCATGTGGCCACGTTATTGAAATTTTATAAAAACTTTTTATCGGTTTCTGTCTATTAAATACCTGTTGACATTTATAAAAGTTGGCCGGTAGGAAAGCCATAACTGTATCCTGTATGTAAAATCGGTAGGGTAATATATTATCTTACCGAAATGTCTTGTCAAAACCAATAAATGTAAGTAACTTTATTTAAACTATTTAATGCTTGACTGAGTGCATTTTTAAAATTTTCAGGCAATTGGGCAATAGGTACTATCACGACCAAAAAAATGGAAACACCTGAATTGCTCATGTCATCGATTTTTATTTACGCCTTTGCTTTCCTGACGTCATTTAACATCAACGTGACAGAGTAATGGCACTTACAATAGAAAAATTAAATAAAATCGACGACATGAGCAGGTTACGTGTTCCCATTTTTTTGGCCCTAATAGTATGTCGCCTAAATAAATCATTTTTCTAATTCTGTTCACTAAATTTTTTTGAATAAACAACAAAATGTTACTATGACACCGAAATATATCATGCAAAAGTGATCAACCACATTTATGTAAGTATTTTTTAATTAATTTTTAGATTATTGGATTAAAATGGGCAGAAACTGAAATCTTGAACACACCACGCACACGAAGACGGATTTCAAACGGACGGCTCCAGCGGTTATAGCACTCTTTACATCCTAGTTTTTTAATAGCTAACTATTAGCAATGCAGTTCACCAAAATGTGCAGTCAGATTATTTTGTGTCTGAAATTACTGATTTTTAATAAACAGTGTCCGCTGCATTTTAAATAACTGTCGTTTTAACTACTTCGTTGCACCATTTTCTTGTAAAAATTGTACTATTCTCATGTGGCCACGCTCGGATGAAATGTAAAGTGGTGTCCGACCATAATGATCAGTACGATTGATTTCGGCTCCCCATTTCACTAGGCATTCGACAGTTTTTTCGTGACCTTGAGAGGAAGCTGCGTTAAGCGGTGTCTGACCATATTTAGTAACGCGATTGATTTCGGCTCCGCATTTCACCAGGTATTCGACAATTTTTTCGTGACCTTCAGAGGAAGCTGCGTAAAGCGGTGTCCGACCATCTCTATCAGCGCGATTGATTTCGGCTCCGCATTTCACCAGGTATTCGACAATTTTTTCGTGACCTTCAAAGGAAGCTTCGTAAAGCGGTGTCTCGCCATAATTATCAGCGCAATTGATTTCGGCTCCGCATTTCACCAGGTATTCGACAATTTTTTCGTGACCTTCAGAGGAAGCTGCGTAAAGCGGTGTCCGACCATCTCTATTAGCGCGATTGATTTCGGCTCCGCATTTCACCAGGCATTCGACAATTTTTTCGTGACCTTGACAGGAAGCTGCGTGAAGCGGTGTCTCGCCATAATAATCAGCGCAATTGATTTCGGCTCCGCATTTCACCAGGCATTCGACAATTTTTTCGTGACCTTGAGTGGAAGCTGCGTGAAGCGGTGTGTTCTTATATTCATTAGCTGTATTAATTTCTGCACCGCATTTCACCAGGCATTCGACAATTTTTTCGTGGCCTTGAGAGGAAGCTGCGTAAAGCGGTGTCTTACCAAGTTCATCAGCGCCATTGAGTTTGGCTCCATATTTAACTAAACGTTCGATAATTTTTTGTCGCCCGCAACTGACATTTGCATTAAGCGATGCTTGACCGTTACCACCACTACCATTAATTCCGACTTTTACGTCTTTCGGGTTGGACACTATGAACAGGGGGGTTTGAAAGGATTCATCACGAGAATTTGCTAATTTTTTACAAACATCAGCATCTGTCGGAATAACCTTTTCAATCGCATCGTCATACCCAAGTTGAGCAGAACGAAATAAAATATTAATTATGTCTCTTTCACTGTAGACGTCTTGAAATTGTAATTTTTTTGACTGTAATAATTCCAGTTCCGCTACCAAACTATGGCTTTTCCATGCATATGCTAGGGGCGTGTAATGAAGCTCATCTTCTTTTGAAATTTCACATTCGTCTAACAAAAATAACAATGCGTTATAATATTCTTTTGTTTCTTCTGGAACACTATTAAATTTGTTATCGATTATATAAAAATCGTCTTGTTCTTTCACATTTGAACGCGGATATCTTCGTCCCCAAGAACAAATGAGATGTAAAGCACTTCTGCCACTTTCATCTTTACATTTTATTATTTCGTCACCATGATTCCTCAATTCATTAAAATTCCTGTACAAGACCGCGATGTGAGCCGGTGAATTTTTACCAATTATCATATCAAAAAAAAATCGTACATTGTTATACTTCTGATCAAAAAATGTATCTGCGGGTATCATTTCAAAATGTTTAGAAAAATATAAAGCAACAAAATATTCGGCAAAGGAAGCATGTACAAACTGTGGTATCCCAGTTAGTGATCCAGTTATGATACCAACTGTACCGAAATCTTCAGAAATCACATCTGCATTAAGTGAACAATCGATCTTTAATTCCTTCAAAATTTCTTCAGAAAATATTACTCCAAACGCCAACTTTTCATAGTGTTTTAGTTTTTCTTCCTTTTTCTTCCTGGCTTCTTCTTGCCAATAATCATTGTTTGCAGGCACTTTGTCGTCGAAGAAGAACTCAAGTTTTCCGTCAATGAAGTAACTGTATAAATCAGTCAAAAGAAACTTGTTGTTGAATAATTCCTCATGTTTTTCTTTATTTTGTAGAAATACTTCTGTAAGCATAAAGATCTGAAGTGGAATTCCTAAAATATCTATATGTTTTGTGAATGCAAACGTGGATTTAATTTTCTCAATCGTTTCTTTCATGTCGAGAGACGTAGAAAAATTGGCAAGTCGTCTTCTAATGTAATCTTCTTGCTCGCTCTGGTTGAACTGATTAATAGTCACTGACAGCACACTAAATTTGTTTTCAAGAAATAACCTCAAGTGTTGCCTTGCGGTAACCCATTGAGTGAAACCTTTTTTAGATAATGAAAGAATTAACGTTGAAGTAGCTTCCAAATTTTTAGTTAAAACTTCGTCGAGAGCGTCCCATACGTAAACTACAGTCTTTTGCTTCAAACTCGTTTTTAGAAACTCTCGATCTAACGGTTCAAGACCTGGATATTTTTTATTCAAAATGAATGATTCGAACAGCTTTAAGTACTCCGACGTCTCACGATTTTGTAAAGTTTTAAAAAGTAGATTAATATCTTGGGGATTCATTATCACCGTCCAATATTGAGAAGAACAATTGTTTTTTAAACTTTTTGTTAATTCAGTTTTGCCCATTCCCGGATCGCCTACTATTAGATTTATGTTATTACTAAACCCGAAAGACCAAAATTCTTTCTCATTTTTAGAATAATTACTTAAATTATTGTTCTGGAGTTCACTTACATCACCTGTTACAAGATTTGTGCTATTGAATGAATCGGAAAACCAAAGTTCTTTCTCACTTTCAGAATCACTAGTCAAATAATCGTTGTCGGATTCGGAAGACCAAAATTGGCTCTCGGTTTCAGAATTATTTTCGGTTTTAGAATGATGGTGTAACTTATAATCTCGCAGTTCACTAATATCCCCTCTGCTACGGACCCATTCTAAATTTTTATTATTAAGAAATTTAAAATAATGTATACGTTTAGATGTAGGTGTTTTAGAACAAATTTTCTGAAAATCAGAATCGCTATATTTAATGTTACTCTGTATAAAAAGTGCAGTCTCAAAAATTTTGGAATCCATAGAAGTGAAAAAATCTTTTATATCTATTAGTATATGCTTTTGAGTTATTTTTAATTGCTCAGAATTTTCTTCGCAATTCAGAATGATAACAGTATCTTGATCTGTATGTTGTAAATATTTAATATCTATAATATTGACGGACAAATATCTCTCGATATAAAGATTGGGAAAAGTTTCTTTCTGTCCACCTATATAGCATGAACCCTCTGACATTTCCAAAAGTTTGTTCACAGTTACATGTTCTGAGATTTCGTAATTTTTTTGGAAAGCAGTCACTAAATTAAGTGGTTCTTTTCCTTGTAATGAGATGGTGAAATTTTGCATTACTTTGTCATACAATTCGCCTTTTGATTTCAAGTCGGATAGGTTTTGAAACACGGGAATTTCCTTCATCCATTCTCTACATTTTCCCTCACCAAGTATAATAAATTTTGCATCTGGACAAAGCTTAATAGCCTTTTCTATATTGTCGCGTTCTTTTACAATCAGCGGACATTTCTCCATCAGCCATAGCAATTGTGTCAGCAAATTTGCATCCAGATTTTCGACACTACTTATATAATCAAAAGAAAGAGAATAAAGTAATCGAATTTTGTTGAGTTCCTTCGGGTCGACCTTTTTGTCCAAGTCGCCCCACAGATTTTTAATTGCGTTGCTGCCTTCTTTTTCCAACAACGTAATGTCAAATAAACAAATAGCCTCTCGAAGTGTCTTCATTTCGTCTGTGACTGAGCCAAAAACAAGTGGTTCGATTTGAGAAGAAAGCAAACGAAGTGCGATTGCACGTTGCATCATTCTTTTGTTTAATTTTTCTTTTTCTCCTTCTTTTATGCTCCATTCCGATATAACGTCGACGTATTTTTTGAAAGTTTCTTCGCTAGAGCAAAACATCTCATTAAATCTATGCATTGTTGATTTTGTAAGAGCTTCAAAACGTTCTTGGTTTGTGTAAAGACGAAAGCTTTCGAAGAATGTTTGGTATTGCTGAATTTTTTCAGGATTTTGTTTAGTCCATTCGTCCTCTACGATTTGAAATGTATGATAATAATTTATATTTTCCGAAATTCTTAAAATGTCGAAATCGTCTTCTGAAACTGTCTTTTTAATCGGCTTCAGGTCAAACTCTTCTCCTTCTAGTCTAAATTTTGTATCTTCCGAAGTTTCAAATGTATTTGTGGTGAATAATATAAATTCTTGCACTTCGTCTTGAACCTCTTGAGCAGATTTGAAATATTTGATTAAACTAAAGTCTCCCTTTTTGCCTGCCAGTTGCTTTATATATAATTGTTTTTTTTCATTACTGTGTTTTAATTGCAGTGCTTTGGTTTTTGTTCCCCTGTTTGTCTCAATTTCAATAACTACGTCATCAAAATCACCAAAATTTTCGTCGTTCGATGAAATTCGGAAGTCTTTTATTTTACTATCGCTTACCAATTGTAGTACGACATTAGCGGTGATCAAATCTTCGTATTTTTTTCCTTTATCGGTGGTGCCTTTTCGTTTTTTGAAAGTCTGAAACAGAATCAACAACGTAAATACATCGAGAAAAATTGGTCTAAAGAGTTTAGACAGTACTTCCCTCGCTGTCGGAAACTTGACGACTGCATGCCTATTGTGTTTTTTTTTCTCATTACATTTTTGTAGTGGGAATTTAAAAAAAATTGTGATGACGTCATCAACATTTTTGCAAGGACACGTATATTAGTTGGAATAGATGTAGTGTAATACTAAGAATAAAATTATTGTATTCCCAAATTTTCGGGAAAATGAATTGGGTCGTTTTGAATATTGATTTCTTATAATCAATAAAATAACGAAACAATTTACTCACGTATACGGCGCCGGTGTGTAATATCTAGAGAGGGGATTTCTGTCGGGCTAGGCAAGGCCAAACTCGGTACGGCTCGTACGGGATGCGAATTCATTGCGGTTGCGGACTGCACGTCGTTTATTTGAGATTAGAATAACGCTGTTTCGTTGCACTCTGCTGTTAATTCCCGTTCTCATTTACTTAGCCGTTTGAATCGTTAATTATATTTATGGAATTAGTACCGATTAAATTCAGTGATTATCTATCACCCGGCGATCCAGCACGTCCCCCCCTATAATCGTGACGTAGCCCGACAGAAATCCGCTGTCTAGTAATATGAGGGGCAACTGAAAATCGTTTATGTATAAACATTCTTAATTTAAGATGACAAGCGTAACAGCATACGTGAGAGTCAAACAGAGAAACTGTAAACAAAACGACCATCGGTTTTATTGCTTCGACTTCCGCTTATTATATAAAACATTGGGTTTTATTTTAATTCTTGACGGTGAAATTCACAATTGGTTGATTATAAACATGTCTATTCCACATTCGCGGAACCAAGTGAGCGCATAAAACAAATGCAGGTCTGTAATGTTAAAGTCGATGTAAATAAGCGTTCTACCCTTATGTTTCAACCGAGTGTTTCCTTTAACAAATTTTGTGTCTACCAAATTGGGTTGGTTGCGGTGTAATACTAACAATAAGTGTTGCCTTTAATTTAATCAATAAAATAAATTGACTTCATTAATTTTTTTGAACCACCTCTTAAGAAAATCTAAAAAATATGAATGGAATGATAAATCACAAGTACAAACTCATCATATTTTTTGCATTTTAGATATGATTTATTCAGCAAAATTTAAGGGTGACGTCATCAATTTTTTTAGGAGGGATGAACAAATACATTTTGAACAAAAGTTTACCATGCTTATGATAACTTTAAAATATTCCCAAGATTTCAAAGCATTCGGTTTTGTAGTTTCTGAGTAAATCAGTAAAATAAATTTACGCTTTCATTATTTTTTTTTAATCACCCTGTATATGCAAATCCAAAAAATATGAATGGAGTGATAGATCACAAGTACAGACTGATCATATTTTGTGCATTTTAGATATGATTTATTCGGCAAACTTTCGAGCTGACGTCATCAAGTTTTTGGAGGGGATAAGCAAATATATTTTGACTAAACATTTATTATGCTCTTTATGACCTTAAAACATCTGCAAGATTTCAGAGCATTCGGTTTTGTAGTTCCTGATTAAATCAATAAAATATATTTACGCATTCATTAATTTTTTTGAGTCACCCTGTATATGCAAATCCAAAAAATATGAATGGAGTGATAAATTACAAGAACAGACTCATCATATTTTTACAGTTTAGATAGGATTTATTCGGCAAACTTTCGAGCTGACGTCATCAATTTTTTGGAGGGGATAAGCAAATATATTTTGACTAAACATTTATTATGCTTTTTATAACCTTAAAACATCTGCAAGATTTCAAAGCATTCGGTTTTGTAGTTTCTGAGTAAATCAGTAAAATAAATTTACGCATTCATTAATTTTTTTGAGTCACCCTGTATATGCAAATCCAAAAAATATGAATGGAGTGATAGATCACAAGTACAGACTCATCATATTTTGTACATTTTAGGTATGATTTATTCCACAAACTTTTGAGCTGACGTCATCAAGTTTTTGGAGGGGATAAGCAAATATTTTTTGACTAAAGATTTATGATGCTCTTTATAGCCTTAAAACATCTGCAACATTTCAAAGCATTCTGGTTAGCAGATTAAAAATTAAATTTCAAAATGTTGTTTTATAATTTTGATTTTTTTTCCAAAAATCTGGACGTTTCGGGTGAAAAGTCGATTCAGAGTTGTAAACTACATGTGTAGGACTATGTTATTTTATACAATTGAAAACCCATTTACTATGTACAATTTTGAAGTGACGTCATCGCATCAGTGGTGGGGATGATTAGACAAATTTTGGTTAGCGTTTTACCATCTACATGATATTCTTAATATAAGTACAAAATTTCACAACAATCGGTCGAGTACTTTCGGAGATTATCTGTCTAATAAAAATCCGGGACGGCAGACGGACAGACGGACAGACGGACAGACGGACAGACGGACGGACAGACGGACAGACGGACAGACAGACGGAAATGGGAGACCTATTTCTTCGTCTTCTAGGGGTCATGAAAGATCGAGAAAACGTAAAAGTATAGAGAGTCGACCGACGGACTCGATTACAATACTTCCTTTGCTTACGCTCGGGAAGTAAAAATGACAAAACTGAAAAAATTAATACTCATTTTATTTTAAAATACCCCGCTACAAAAATGTAATAGAAAGTACTGTCTAAACTTTTTAGACCAATTTTTACTTCCCGAGCGTAAGCAAAGGAAGTATTGTAATCGAGTCCGTCGGCCGACTCTCTACTTTTACGTTTTCTCGATCTTTCATGACCCCTAGAAGACGAAGAAATAGGTCTCCCATTTCCGTCTGTCTGTCCGTCTGTCCGTCCGTCTGTCCGTCCGTCTGTCCGTCCGTCTGTCCGTCCGTCTGTCCGTCCGTCTGTCCGTCCGTCTGTCCGTCCGTCTGTCCGTCTGCCGTCCCGGATTTTTATTAGACAGATAATCTCCGAAAGTACTGGACCGATTGTTGTGAAATTTTGTACTTATATTAGGAATATCATGTAGATGGTAAAACGCTAACCAAAATTTGTCTAATCATCCCCACCACTAATGCGATGACGTCACTTCAAAATTGTACTTAGTAAATGGGTCTTAAATTGTATAAAATAACATAGTCCTACACATGTAGTTTACGACCCCGAATTCAGTTTTTACCCGAAATGTCCAGATTTTTGGAAAAAAAATCAAAATCATAAAACAACATTTTGGAATTTAATTTTGAATCTGCTAACCCGAATGTTTTAAAATGTTGCAGATGTTTTAAGGCTCTAAAGAGCATCATAAATCTTTAGTCAAAATATATTTGGTTATCCCCTCCAAAAACTTGATGACGTCAGCTCAAAAGTTTGCCGAATAAATCCTATCTAAAATGTACAAAATATGATGCGTCTGTACTTGTGATATATCACTCCATTCATATTTTTTGTATTTGCATATACAGGGTGACTCAAAAAAATTAATGAATGCGCAAAATTTATTTTACTGATTTACTCAGGAACTACAAAACCGAATGCTCTGAAATCTTGCAGATGTTTTAAGGCTATAAAGAGCATCATAAATCTTTAGTCAAAAAATGTTTGCTTATCCCCTCCAAAAATTTAATGACGTCAGCTCAAAAGTTTGTGGAATAAATCATATCTAAAATGTACAAAATATGATGAGTCTGTACTTGTCATTTATCACTCCATTCATATTTTTTGGATTTGCATATACAGAGTGACTCAAAAAAATTAACGAATGCGTAAATATATTTTATTGATTTAATCAGGAACTACAAAACGGAATGCTCTGACATGTTGCAGATGTTTTAAGGTTAGAAAGAGCATAATAAATGTTTAGTCAAAATATATTTGCTTATCCCCTCCAAAAACTTGATGACGTCAGCTCGAAAATTTGCCGAATAAATCATATCTAAGATGTACAAAATATGATCAGTCTGTACTTGTGATCTATCACTCCATTCATATTTTTTGGATTTGCATATACAGGGTGATTCAAGAAAATAAATGAAAGCGTAAATTTATTTTACTGATTTACTCAGGAACTACAAAACCGAATGCTTCGAAATCTTGAAGATATTTTAAAATTATCATAAGCATGGTAAATTTTTGATCAAAATGTATTTGGTCGTCCCCCCTAAAAAATTTATGACGTCACCACAAAATTTTGCTGAATAAATCCTATCTAAAATGTACAAAATATGGTGAGTCTCTTCTTGTGATTTATCATTCCATTCAAATTTTTTCGATTTGCATATACAGGGTGACTCAAAAAAATTAATGAATGCGTAAATTTATTTTATTGATTTAATCAGGAACTACAAAACCGAATGCTTTGAAATCTTGCAGATGTTAAAAGGTTATAAAGAGCATAATAAATTTTTAGTCAAAATATATTTGGTTATCTTCTACAAAAAACTGATGACGTCAGCTCAAAAGTTTGCCGAATAAATCGTATCTAAAATGTACAAAATATGATGAGTCTGTACTTGTGATTTATCATTCCATTCATATTTTTGGATTTGCATATGCAGGGTGACTCAAAAAAATTAATGAATGCGTGAATTTATTTTATCGATTTAATCAGGAATTACAAAACCGAATGCTTTTGAATCTTGGGAATATTTTAAAGTTATTATAAGCATGGTAAACTTTTGTTCAAAATGTATTTGTTCATCCCTCCTAAAAAAATTGATGACGTCACCCTTAAATTTTGCTGAATAAATCATATCTAAAATGCAAAAAATATGATGAGTTTGTACTTGTGATTTATCATTCCATTCATATTTTTTAGATTTTCTTAAGAGGTGGTTCAAAAAAATTAATGAAGTCAATTTATTTTATTGATTAAATTAAAGGCAACACTTATTATTAGTATTACACCCCAACCAACCCAATTTGGTAGACACAAAATTTGTTAAAGGAAAAACTCGGTTGAAACATAAGGGTAGCACGCTTATTTACATCGACTTTAACATTACAGACCTGCATTTGTTTTATGCGCTCACTTGGTTCCGCGAATGTGGAATAGACATGTTTATAATCAACCAATTGTGAATTTCACCGTCAAGAATTAAAATAAAACCCAATGTTTTATATAATAAGCGGAAGTCGAAGCAATAAAACCGATGGTCGTTTTGTTTACAGTTTATCTGTTTGACTCTGACGTATGCTGTTAGGCTTGTCATCTTAAATTAAGAATGTTTATACATAAACGATTTTCAGTTGCCTTTCATATTACTAGACAGCGGATTTTTGTCGGGCTACGTCACGATTATAGGTGGGGACGCGCTGGATCGCCGGGACTCACTAGCGGGTGATAGATAATCACTGAATTTAATCAGTACTAATTCCATAAATATAATTAACGATTTATTAATCAAACGGCTAAGTAAATGAGAACGGGAATTAACAGCAGAGTGCAACGAAACAGCGTTATTCTAATCTCAAATAAACGAAGTGCAGTCCGCAACCGCAATGAATTCGCATCCCGTACGAGCCGTACCGAGTTTGGCCTTGCCTAGCCCGACAGAAATCCGCTCTCTAGATATTACACACCGGCGCCGTATACGTGAGTAAATTGTTTCGTTATTTTATTGATTATAAGAAATCAATATTCAAAACGACCCAATTCATTTTCCCGAAAATTTGGGAATACAATAATTTTATTCTTAGTATTACACTACATCTATCCCAACTGATATACGTGTCCTTGCAAAAATGTTGATGACGTCATCACAATTTTTTTTTAAATTCCCACTACAAAAATGTAATGAGAAAAAAAAACACAATAGGCATGCAGTCGTCAAGTTTCCGACAGCGAGGGAAGTACTGTCTAAACTCTTTAGACCAATTTTTTTTTATTGTGAAATTATTCAAATGTTATTGTGTACTATATGAGCTTGCTCGTTGGGCTGTAATAAATTATTATTATTATGACCCACCACTGACCCGGAAATGACCGGCATTCAGGCAAGACTTCTATCACTACGGGTACTAAGACCAAGTAATGATATGCATTGATTAGATTATTATTATTATTATTAATGATATTATTATAGAGCTGCATAGACTTTCAAACGTCAAAAGAAATAAAATAAAAAGTTAAATAAATAAAAAATATAAAATTTCTTCTAAGTGGCTGAATGGGTTTAATTCGAACTTTGATGCCCAGTTTATAAAATGAAAATTCGTAAATCAATGTTGACTTAAAGAAATTCACAGCTAATGAGCGGATCCCCGTTACAGCAAGTTACAACGCGTTCAAAATAATTCTCAAAAAATTATACAGTAAGTACGGGACATAAATTAAACACCTATTGAAAGCCACTAGCTGGATTTTGATACAAAATGACTAAAAATAAAAATGCATCCAGTGGTTTAAGTTGCGAATTTGCCTTCACATAAATACAATAAATGCCCAATATCTTTTCGGCTATATGATAACAACTTGAGATTTTGAAGAGTCAGTGCGACCTAAATTTAGTAAGACGTTAGCACTTTGAAGTAAGCATTGTTTTGAGGTCAAATCACTCGTGGAATTTTTCACTTCGGCCGTTTTATTTTGAAGCCAATGTATGTTTTTTAAAACTTGTTTAATTTATATTGCCTTATAAATAAATTTACCTTTTTCGATAAAGGGTTATTTGTTTCTTCACAAACTTCTTCATAAACCTTCTCCTTTAGGTTTGTATTTTCTTCAGTACTTTCCTTAATTTGTTGATTGCTTCCAACTACTTCAACTTGTTTGTCTGACGTACCTTCTAAACTTACTGGATCCGTCTGCTGAAAAAAAAATATTAAGGAAATGTTCATATCTGCTGATAAATATACACATCAAACAACTTTTTTTAAAGACAGTGTAATTATATATAGGCTCAATTATTAAAAGGGTTCGATTGTGTCGATCATAATATTCTTCTGTATAAGTGTGAATATTAGGTATACAAATGAATTTTTTAAATCTTATTTGCGAGATATAGGTATCTCAAATAGTTTCAATAAAGAATTAAATTTCTGGCAGTCAAGTAATTCTTAAAAGTATCTTTCAAGGTTCAATTTTGGGACCGATCCTTTTCCTAATTTATGTCAATGATTTATCGGTAAATATTCACAGTCATGGCCAAATTTTATTTGCAAACGATACGACAATTTTAAATGTTGCAAAATCTGACATCAATCTTGCAGATGCAGAAAAAGTTAGTTCAGTTCAAAGTCGGTCAAAAGCTGGTTTTCAATAAATAAGTTAATTGTGAACCACCAACATTTACGAGTCACCACAAGTAATGAAGTTGTCACAAATTCTATGAAATTATTAGGACTTAATGCGGACAACAAGCTAATGCGGGCAGATCACATAGAAAACTTGGCATTAAAACTGAATAAAGTTATATATCAGATACATAAATTGAAATTATTTTGCACCCACGAGACAGTAATCACGTTTTACCATTCAAATTTTGAAACTTTATTGTCATATGGTTTAATTTTATGTGGGTCATCTAGCCAGAGTGAAAGGATATTTAAAATTCAAAAAAGTGCAATAAGAGTCATTAACAACAGTAAACCATATGATAGTTGCAAACCCATTTTTCAAAAATTTGGTATTCTTTCTCTACCAAGCCTCTATATGTACAAAACATTATTACACGTGAAAGAAAACGCAGATTTTTTTTAAATTTAGATAAATATGGTTATACAACTCGTCACTGCAACGATTGCCATATTTACCATTTCATCGCATATATCGAACCCCAAAAGTCACCTAATTACATAGGTATTAAGCTTTTTAATATTTTACCATCCTCAATTAAAGAACTGCTATTTAAATGCTTAAAAAAAAACAATCAAAGAGAAAACATGAAATTAGCCAGTGGCCCCCCGATAGACTCGATTACAATACATTCTTTGCCTACGCTCAGGAAGTAAACATAAAATTCGCACATTTAAATTTTATAGTCCTAATTGTTAAAAAGTAAAAAGAATTATTTTTATATGTTTTTTACTCCAAAGTGCATCCATTCTCGAGCGTAAGCGAAAGAAGTATTGTAATGGAGTCCGTCCACCGACTCTCTACTTTTACGTTTTCTCGCCCTTTCATGACCCCTACAGTCCGTCTGTCTGCCGTCTGTGCAGATTATTATTAGACAAATATCTCCGAAACTACTGGACCGATTGTTGACAAATTTTATATCTTTATTATGAATATCATGTAGATTGTAAAGCGCTAATCAAACTTTGTCTCATCATCCCCACCAATAATGTGATTAAGTCACCTCAAAATTGTACGTAGTAAATGGGTTTTAAATTGTATAAAATAACATAGTCCTACTTCCTACACCAGCAGTTTATGACTCCGCGTTGAGTTTTAACACGAAACGTCCAGATTTTTGGAAGAAAAACATTTTGCAACTTAATTTTGAATTTGCAAAAGCGAATGCTTCGAAATCTTGCAGATGTTTTAAAGTTATGATAAGCATGATAAATTTTTAATCAAAATATATTTGGTTATCCCCTCAAAAAAATTAATGACGTCAGCTCAAAATTTTGCCAAGAAATCCTAATCTCAAATGTCCAAAATATGGTGACTTGTGATTTATCATTCCATTCATAATTTTTGGAATATACAGCTGGTTATATAAATAAACAATTGAGCTTCAGATTGCTACTATCTAGTGCTGAAGGACATTTTATCCCGTTAATTAAGTGCTTTAAATATATTTTGCATTGTCCGTAGAGAGCAGGGGCTGCGGGAGTTTTATTTATGCCGCTGGCTTTTGCTGGACAGCGGTTATCACAAAATAAAAATCGTAAAATCAAATTTTATAACTTTTTTAAAGAGTTGGATTTATACTTCTAGGGAAGTTCTGTCTAAATTGCCTTCCACCAATTCTTTTTTTAATTGGATCTAACAACAAACAAATAAAAATGGTTATAATACCGTTTTTGAAGAACAGGGAGTGTCTTCAGGTTGACGAGCCTGTAGGAGACCTTTGTTTCTTTTTTCAATCTTTTTCCGTTTTATTTGTTCGATTTTATGCTTAAATTCTTGTTTCGCTCTTTGGATTTCTTCGTCAGAACTGGAGTTCATCATGTCAATGTCCATCTCCATGGCCTTAAATATGTTTGCTGAAATAAGTATTATTCAGTAACCAAATTCTCAGTTTTAATAAGTTTGTTAATCATTCGTCCTTCCAGATATTATATATTTTGTGTTATTTTACAGTGTTACTTCTATCTTTTCCGGCTCAGGTTTGTGGAAAGAAATCTCTAGATATCGGTAGTGTAATATAAGTGAAATTTATCGGTAGTGACATTGGGCACCACTTGTTAAATAACCTGTATCAAGCAGTGGGTGGAAACACCTACTTTCCTGACAAGAGCCACGCCGAACACTTGATTACACCTGCTATCACTACTAGAGAACCGAAACTGTCGAAATTACAGTATACAAATTTTCATTGCGTTGTCTAAATGTTTATTTCTAGATATTTTTCGTGTATGTATAAGTTTGTATTTTTTTTAGTTATGTTATCATAGATATCAGTAAATTTTAATAAATGGAAGAATAATTATATAATTTCTCAGTACCATCCAAAACACTAAATTTTGTAAAAACTGTTAAATTTTCAAAGTCGCCAATTTTATTAGTAATCACGCTAAATTAAATTTATACTGTTTACATAAAAAAATACGCATAGAGTGAACAGTGTAGCTATAATTTTCAACTTACCTTTCAGAACCTTCACTTCTTTTCAACACTCACAGGTATAAAATACTTTCATAAACTGAGTTACAATTGCAGTATTACTTCCAAATAATTACTCTGGATTGATTACTCAGTAGTTCAATAATCTCTAGCGATTTTTTTTTAACGCTGGTCCTTAAATAAGATAATCTGAAGGTGGAGCTAACAGATCTGATAATTTGTTATTATCAAGGTGTTCAAGGTGCAAAAATCTTAAAAAATATCACGTTACCATAAGATGATGCAATGTTTATTTTTTACACGAGTTCCATTTTGCGAATAGCTATTATTATATTTACTCGACATTCCATAACTTCTAGAATATGAAAGAATAAGTTTTCAATTTATGTCTCTCTGTCGTCTGTCCGTCTGTTGTCTACTTTTACAAAGCAGAGGAATGGCTCAGAATTGCCGTGTCGATAGACATAAAACTTATATGAAAATTTGAATATATTACTTTCCAAACGTAAGTTAAGGAAGTGTTGTAAAATCTACCCTATCGACCGACTGGCTACTTTGTTGTTTTCTCGAAGTTTCAGAACCCGTAGAGTACGAAAAAATAGGTCTCTTATTTTCATTATTGTTTGTCTACCGTCCGTGGTCTATCTGGGTCGATATTACAAACAAAGTTGGCAATATCCAGCGGTCACACGTTGTTCATGGTGCATGTCAGAACCTTTGTTACAAAGATAAAATTTATATTTGCGCAAGTTAATTTTATTTGCACTTGAAATTTTGCTTTATCAAAACATTGAAATGAAAATTATAAACCTTTGATCGTTCAACACCTGGCATGATACGCAACAATATTGCTTGTTTAAACTGATAATATCAATTTGATTAGTTTATCTACATTTTACATCTTAATTCAATAACAAGGTTCAAAGTATAAAAAATTTTCTTTCCACAAAGAGGAAAAGCGTCATTAAGCTTTCTCTACAGTTAAAACGGAGTAATCCATTTTACAAACCTGGTTTTAGTTTGTTATTAAGTCTAGACTGAAAGTGTTTATATGTATTCATTTAAAATACATATTCGGTAATAATATCGGGTGATTTTTCAAATTTCTGCTCTAATTGGCCGTGACGCTCACGTTAGCCGTTTCAATTTCACTGCTGACATACGGGTCATGGCCAACTACAGCATCAATTTAAAAATCAGACGGCACTATCGTCAACAATTTTGATGCTGGTTTTGATGGTTGATCAAGAACTTCAAGTTAAGCGGAAACTTTGCATTTAAATTTTGTTCAGGCAAAAAATGGATTTGTACATAGTGTGAAATTATCGCTTATCATTTTCACATTACAGTACAAGTAGGTACATATTTAAGGTGCCGATAAAATTGAAGTGTTTATTATTTTCACTATCAATTTGGGGCACTTTTTTTATTTAAGGTATATTTTGTGTTTATTTGTTTGCATTTATGTATTGGGCACCAAGATATACAGAGTTTTCTTCTAAACCATTTCGTACTTTTTAACTACAATTTTATGAACTTATGAATAGGTTTTCAAGAGCTTGAAAATTTAAGTTTGTTGTTAGTTAAAAAATTAAAGCCAAATATTTTAAAGGTCCATTTTAAGATAACGATAAAACTTGAGTGTTTATTTGCACATTCATTGGAAATTTGCTATCAAATTACGACACCTGTTCTCAAGATATAATTCTTATTTATTTGTCGTGATCTTCGTCAAATACCTTAGCCCTTAGAAATAATAAAAATTATAATAGTAATATTTACCACAATCTGTGTTTTTGATATTAATTTCGATAATCCCTTCAAGCTTAAAAACAATTCCGTTCAGATACAGAATTTCCATATTTTTAACTGATCTCAGGTATTAGGCTGTGGAGTTTTATCTGGGACAATTTTTAAATTACGAAAATATAACATACATCAAAAATATGTTCCAACATGTTCAAGTTTAGTGGCATCAGTGCAAAACTACGAATTTCCCCTAGCCTAGTTTTATTTTCGTTGCTATTTTCCCTCGTTTCTTGATTGTCTTCAATTATGTTACGTTGCCTGCTTGAAGAAATTTCTGGTCTTATTAGATCTGTGTCCTGATAAAAATATTATAATCAAATATAGACTTTATTTTAACTTACAACGATTATTATAAAAAAATAACTTTCGCAAAATAAAACGTTATAATTTTTTGAAACATCTGAATTCATTTATTTTCGACCAATTTTTTGATATCACTATTTTTCGCTTTTTCATTTTCTTTATTTTTGCAATTTTTCCACCTTTCAGTGTTTCGGTTTCATAATTTTCTATTATTCGATTTACAATTTTTTCACTTTTAAATTTTTTAGTTATGCAATTTTTGGACTTCTCAATTATCCGATTTTCCGATTTCTTTAGTTTCCAATATTTCGATTTTACAATATATTTCGTTTTTCCAATTTTGCACTTTTACCATTTTTAAGAATCTCAATCTTTAATGATTCCATTTTTCAATTTTTTTTCTTCAATTTTTCAAGTTCCTGATTCGAAAAGGTGAATAATCGAAAAATTGAAAAAAAAACGGAAAATTAACAATCGAAAAGCCAAAAATTGTAAAATCAAAAATTTATCGAATCCTCAAAACCGTAACGTCGAAAAATTATAACACTGAACGGTCGAAAAATTGAAAAATTGGAAATCTAGAAATTCAAAAATTAAAAATCGAAATATTAAACAATCTGAAAGTATTGATTTCCAGTTTATAGATTTATCAAAGTCCTAATTTTTAGTTTTTCGTTTGTTCATTCGAAATGTTGAAAAATCGAAAAGTTAAAAAGCAGAAAAAACAGGAAAATTGTATAACTGAGAAAACGAAAAACTGAAACTCTGAGAAACTAAAAGTCGGGAAACTAAAAAATTTAAAAAAGTTAAGCAATCGAAAAATTATAGAAGCGACAAAGTAGTAAAGTCGGAAAACTAACACTAAAGGATAGAAAAATTGAAAAGTCAAATACCGAGAAATTAAAAAATTCCGAACCGAAAAATTGAAAAATCGAATAAATGAAAAAGTTTTAAAATCCATCAATCATAGAAAAATGGAAAAACTTATAATTATTATTAGTTATTACATATTTAAAATAAAACTAGAAAAATTGCAAATCAAAATTTAAAGAAATGAAAAATGAAAAATTCGAAGAACTGAAAAATCTAAAAGTTCAAAAATAAAAAAATTGAAACAAAGAAAATATTAAAAAACCGAAAAATTGAAAAATCGAAAACTGTAAAAACGAGAATTGCAATATCGCACAAGTGGAAAACCAAAAATTGCAAATCGAAGAACAGTAGAAACGAAAAATTGAAACAATGGAAAATTAAAAGTCCTGAAACTAAAAAAATTGCAGTTTTAAAATCCAATAATGAAAAACGGAAAAAATTATAATTGTTATTACTTACTTAAAATAAAATTAGAAAAATTACAAATCAAAAATTGAAGAAACGAAAAATCTAAAAATGAAGGATCGCACGGTTAAAAAGTCTGAAATTTGAAAAATCGATCAATTGAAAACCGAAAATTTGCAAATTGAAAATTTGAAAAATCGAAAAATTAAAAATCTAAAAGTTAGAAATCGAAAATTCAAAAAACGAAAAGTTGCAAATCGAAGACCTGAAGAAATGAAAAATTGAGACACTGAAAAACTAAAAATCCGGAAACTAAAAATTCGAAAAAAATAATCAATCGGAAAATGGAAACGTAGAATATAAAAATCCAAAAATTGCAAAATCGAAAAATTATAGAATCGTCAAAATTCTTAAGTCGAAAAACTGTAATATTGAAAAATAGAAAAATTGAATAATTAAATGCTGAGAAATTCAATAATTTAAAACCGAAAAATGGAATAAATGAAAAGGTTCTAAAATTCAATAATAGAAAAATGGAAACATTTTAAAAGTTATAGGAGTAATTATTATTACATTTTTAAAATAAAACTAGAACAATTGTAAATCAAAAGTTGGAGAAACGGAAAACTAGAAAATCTAAAAATTAAAAATCGAAACATTGAAAACTGAAAACGAAAAAAACTATGTTGAAAATTAAAAAAATTAAAAAATCAAAAATTTGGAAAATCGGAACATTGAAAAATAGAAAAGTTTAAAAAATAAAGGCAATAAAAAACTAAATAGAAAATACGAAGAAACGAAAAATTAAAATATGAAAAATTGAAAAATTAAAAATTTAATAATGAAAACTCGATCTCGCGAAATTGAACGAAGAAAAAACCAAACCGAAAAATTGAAAAATTATGTATCGAAAAATTAAAAACACAAAATATTTAAAATAACAAAAAACCGAAACGAAAAACTGATAATCGAAAATTTGAAGACATAAAAAATTAAAGAACCGAAAAATTAAAAAATCAAAAATTTAAAACTCAAGACACATGAAATCGAAAAATTGCAAAATCTAGATAGTGAAAACTCAAAAGTTGGAAAATAGAAAAATTAAAAAATTTAAAAATTGAAAAATCGAAAAACTGTATACCGAAAATTTGGAAAGTTCATAAACTGTTCATTTTTACACTGAAAGAAAATATTCAAAAATCAAAAACACTAAAAAATCTGAAAGTTTAAAAATAAAAGGAATAAAAAACCACAACGAACAATTGCAAAAGAAAATTTGAAGAAATGAAGAACCGAAAAATCAAAAAATTGAAAAATTAGGAATTGAAAACTCGCGAAATTCCAAATTAAAAAAATCCAAAATCTAAACATTGCAACATTGAAAAGTTGGAAAATCGAAAAACTGAAAATTTTGATAATGAAAACTCAACATGGCAAACTTGAAAAAACAAGAAAAATTGAAAAAATAAAATATCGAAACGAAAAACTACTAATCGAAAATTTGAGGAAATGAAGAATTAAAGAACCGAAAATTGAAAAATCAAAACTTTACACTTCGAGATATTAATTGTAAATCGAAAATTTGCAAAATCTAAATAGGGAAAATTCAAAAGTTGAAAAATTAAAGAACTAAAAAATCAAAAAATCGCGAAAACCGAAAATTTGAAAAATCTATAAATTAAGGATTTTCACACTGAAAAAATACAGAAAAATCGAAAAATTAAAAAATCTAAAAGTTGAGAAATCGAAACGTTGAAAAATCGAAAAGTTTAAAAAATAAAAGAAAAAAACTACAAAGAAAAATTGCAAGTAAAAAATTTGAAGAAATGAAAAACCGAAAAATCAAAAAATTGAAAAAATAAAAATTGAAAACTGGCGAAATTCCAAATTGAAAATTTGCAAAATATAAACATTGCAACACGAAAAACTTGGAAAATCAAAATACTCAAAATTTTGGTAATGAAAACTCGACATCGCAAACTTGAAGAAACAAAAAAATGAAAAATTGAAAAATTGCAAATCGTAACACGAAAAACTGAAAAATTAAAAAATCGAAACGAAAATCAACTAATCGAAAATTTTAAGAAATGAAAAATTAAAGAATCGAAAAAGTGAAAAATCAAAACTTTACACTTCAAGACAATTTAAATTAAAAATTTGCAAAATCGAAATAGTGAATATTCAAAAGTTGGAAAATTAAAAGATTAAGCATTCTAAAATCGAAAAATTGAAAACCGAAAATTTGAAAAATCTATAAATTAAGAATTTTGACACTGAAAAATATTGAAAAATCGAAAAATTAAAAAATCTAAAAGTTGAGAAATCGAATTGCAAAAGAAAATTTGAATCTGATTTGCGCTACAATGCAATATAGGCAACCAACAGTACATAGTTAAGTGAGCTGCTTATAATCCAAATCGTTTATATGATTCTACGTATATTATCAATCAACGATCAACATGTAAAAAAAAAAATTCAAACGAATGAAATGTAATAACACCGGTATAATTACGTTATCACAAGTAATAAAAAATAAATAACAGTATAATAATTTTTATATATTTTACATACAAATTTATTTAAAGTTTGCCGCAAAATGCAGGAAAACGGAAAATTATAATAAATGTCCGAGCAGTCGAATTTTAATTTTGAACCGAACCACAATTTCAAACAGAAAATAATTTTTTAGAAAATGAGTAGAGACCTTGTGGTCATTTTGTTGTTGCAAATATCATTCTCTGTGTCAAAGTTTACAGGTAACTCTGTAAGAACAATTATCATTATTATTATTGTTATTGTTATTTTTAGATGGAAATTATGACCTTACACCTGACTTGTTCCACCTTGACGATTTCGACAAATGCTTGTACCTCACTAATAGTACCGACCCCGCCTACTGCTCCCTCACAGTACAGCTTCAACCCGAAAATCCAGAAAATGCGAGCGAAGCGTGGGACATAATTGAGGTAATTTGACGACGTACACCTGTATCAAAAGTCTTGAACTGGATTCCAGGAAATGAGTTCGGACAACAGGAACTATCGTCACGATTTGCTGCGACATGGAATTTGTACCTCTGGAATATGTTCAAGCTACCAAGGAACGATTTCTGAGTGTTTGGACCACCACTACAAGACGAAATATCAAAATTTGGGACTGGTAGGACGGGTCGAAGAAATGCGTTGTGAAACACGTACCTCCAAGCACAAAGTAGATGCTACAGATCTGACCATAAGGTTAAATACCCTTCAAAATGTAAATCGTGTCATTTTTCTTGCAGTGTATTTCTAGGGGTGTACGTCGCTTTCGTACTATCAGTGACAATTTGGTTGGAAATTGTCAAAAATAAGTCAAAACGTGATACTTCGAATAACAGAACACTAACACGAAGTATTGTAACTATTAGAACTAAAATAACTATTTCTAACTTGTTTTTTTTTTATTTTAGCCCAAAAATGTCTATCAGTGTTTTCGATTTTTGATAACATGAAAATAATAGTCGACGTTCGACATCAAGACAAGGATTACATGCCTTTTTTGCAGACAATACGATTTGTACTGTCCGTGCTTGTGATATTTGGACACGTGAAAGGCTTTGATAAAATCACGCCACTTTTGAACCCTGATAGTTACGAAAAAGTACCTATATCAAACTTATGTTCCATAATTACCATACTATTTAATTTCAGGAAGCTAAAACATGGTTCCATCTATTTTTCTCACAAGGAAAAATTATAGTGTCGATTTTCTTCATCATATCGTCTTGGTTGATGGCAATCAAATTCTTCAGACGACTCAAAGCCGAGGGTTACGTCGACTTTGGATACGTTCTGCGGTCGACCATAAAACGATACATTAGGTACCTAAAAATGGATGTTTGGCCAAACTCGTGTGACATTGAATGACAACTTTGACAGGTTTACTTCAGGACAAATACTTATTGTAGCCTTGCACGGAACGCTCTTGGTTCATTTGTTCCGTGGTCCACTTTGGGAGACCATAATGGGTACAGAACACCAAATGTGTAGAGAAAACTGGTGGACAAATTTGCTCTACGTGGGTAATTTTGCCGTCAGCGATGGAATTGTAACCCCGATAATTGTGTCAAACTTTTTCAAACTTGTAACGTTTTTAGTGCCTCATTCATACTTGGTCGTTGTCTGTAGACTTCCAGTTGACCGTCTTAGGACTCTTGATTTTATGGTTGACCCAAAAGAAACCCAGATATTTGTTTGTGGCGTGTGGACTGGTAATCACCGGTCACATAATCATCACGTTTGCTTACTTATTTTCAAACAACTACAAATTTTCAGTTCTGTTTACTCCGGAGTAAGTTTTGTCAAAGCTGTGACAACTTTCTTAAAACCGGTTTTAGACTAACGTACTATTTAAGAGTTCTTTTTGTCAAAGAGTGGCAAGCTACGTGGACTACGACTTGTTCGAATTTGGCTGCACTTGGATGTGGGTTGTGCATTGGGTACTTTAGCACGAAATACGACAAGGAAAAATTTATAACCAAAAAGGTTGACTACTTAGAGGGTTTACTAGTCACTAGATGGTTGTTTCAGGTCTACGCAACTTTATGGTGGGTTATAACCACTATTTTAGTCGTTGGTACCCCTTTAGCGTCCATGTGTTCCATGACCACCTGGTACTACTCCCACAGTAGATGGTTTACTGCAGCCTATGGGAGTACAGATAAGGTGTTCTTCATTTTTGGGATTGCGATGCTAATTTTTGGGTTTTCGCAAGATATTGGAGGTTTGAATTTGTTGTTAGTGTGATTTCTGAGACTAATTTCGGTTTCAGGTGTTTTTAAAAAATATATGGAGTCGGCTCCTATGTACACTCTGGGTCAACTGTCGTTTGGTGCCTACATTATTCACTACACTTTTCTGAATATAGAAGCTGGTTTAAGAAGGACGCTGCACTACATGTCCGATTACTTAATAGTTGAGTATTTTTAGCACGGTTGTTCTTTAACTAAATTAATTTTTGTAGGTTGCCGAAATTATGAAAAATGTTACGTTGTCCTACCTTTCGTCTCTGATATTGACTGTTTTCGTGTTATTACCAATGGAGAGATTGTCGAAGATGTTAATTGTGAAGAAAACCAAAACGGAATAAATATTGTTTGTGTTTAAATTTGTTTTTATGAATTAAAAGTTTTTATGAAATATAAGTTAAAACCATAATTTTGAATTTTCCGTTTTTTCATTTTCTTGATTTTTTCAATGTTTTTTCGATTTCTAAATTTTATAGTTATGCAATCTTTCGATTTCTCAATTATCCGATTTTCGGATTTTTTAATTTACAATATTTGGTTTTTCCCATTTGCCACTTTTTCGATTTTTAAGTTTCTCAATCTCAGATCTTTCAATTTTTCAATTTTTCGTTTCCTCGATTTTTAAAATTTATTGATTTGCAATTTTTAGATTTTTCAAAGGTTTTTTTACTTTTACGTTTATTCATTTTTGATTTCTCAATTTTACAGTAGGTATTGCAATTTTTCCATTTTTTTATTCGAAGTGTTAAAAAATTGAAAAGTCGAGGAATTAAAAAACTGAAAAACGAGAAATTGCAATATCGTACAAGTGTGAAATGAAAGAACTGAATAAAACGAAAAATTCAAACAATGAAAAATAAAAGTCGGGAAACTTAAAAATCTGAAATTTAAAAGTCGAAAAAATTTAAAAATCGCAAAACTGAAAAAGGAGAAATTACAACATCCAACAAGTGGAAAATCAAAAAATTGCAAATCGAACAACTGAAGAAACGAGAAATTGAAACACCGAAAAACTAAAAATCTGGAAACCAAAAAATCGAAAAAAATGGGAAAGAAGAAAAAAGACCGGAAGCGAAAAATTACAAAAAAAAAACCAAAAATTGTAAAATCGAAAAATTATAGAATCCTCAAAATTGTCAAGTCAAAAAACTGTTACATTGAAAAATCGAAAAGCTGAAAAACTAGATATCGGGAAATTCAAAAATTAAGAACCGAAAATTCGAAAAATCGAATAAATGAAAAGATTTAAATTCCAATAATAGAAAAATGGACAAATTTTAAATATTATAATTATTATTACAAATTTAAAATAAAAGTAGAAAAATTGCATTTCTAAAATTGAAAAATCCCACAATTAAAATTCCAAAAGTTGAAAAATCGAGAAACAGTGAACCGAAAATTTGAAAAATTCATAAATTAAAAATGTTTACAATAAAAAAAGAAAATATTGAAAAATCGAAAAATTAACAAATTTAAAAATTGAAAAATCGAAAATTTAAAAGTGGAAAAAAATAAAAAAATCGAAAAACTGAAAAAACGAGAACTTACTACATTGTACAAGTGGAAAAACGAAAAAATGAAAATCGAAGGACTGAAGAAACGAAAAATTCAGACACTAAAAAATAAATGTCGGGAAACTAAAAAATTGAAAAAAATTATCCAATCGAAAAATTATAGAAACGTCAAAATCGTAATGTCAAGAAAATGTGACACTGAAAGATTGAAAAATTGAAAAATGGAACAAATGAAAAAGTTTTAAAATCCAATAATAGAAAAATGGAAAAAATTATGATTATTATTACATATTTAAGATAAAACTAAAAAAGCTGTAAATCAAAAATTGAAGAAACGAAAAATTAAAAATTCCAATAACTGAAAAATCTAAAATTGATTGAATTAAAAAATGTAAACTTTTGAAAAATCGAAAAACGGAAAATCGAAAATTTGCAAATCGAAAATTTGAAAAAAAAAAATATTGAGAAATCAAAAAATTAAAAATCTAAAAGCTGGAAAATCAAAAACTTAAAACTGGAAAAAAATTGAAAAATGGAAAAACTGAAAAAACGAGAAATTGCACTTTCGAACAAGTGGAAAATCGGAAAATTGCAAATCGAAGAACTGAAGGAACGAAAAATTGAAACACTAAAAAATAAAATTAGGGAAATCAAAAAATTAAAAAAAAAAATTCAATCGAAAAATTATAGAACCGTCCAAAAATTGTAAAACGGAAAAATTGAAAAACTTAATTATTATTACATATTTAAATAAAAACTAGAAAAATTTGCAAATTAACAATTTAAGAAACCAAAAATTAAAAAATCGTAAAACTGAAAAATCTAAAATTGAGAATTCGCACTATTAAAAAATTAGCAAATCGAAAATTTGAAAAATTAATAAACTGAAAATTTTTACATTGAAAGAAAGCAAGTATTGAAAAAAAAAATGCAAAATTCCAAATTCAAAAAAATATTGCAAAATCTGAACATCGCAACATTCAAAATTGGAAAAATCGGAAAACTGGAAAATTTAATGATGAAAACTCGAATACTTATTATATATCGTAAAACTGAAGAAACAAAAAAGATGAAAAATTAAAAAATTGCAAATCGAAGAACTAAAGAAATGAAAAATTGAAATATTGAAAAACTAAAAATCTGGAAATTAAAAAATTGAAAAAAGCAGTGAATCATAAAAATTAAATACATATCGAGAAATTCACACATTAACGATCGAAAAATCGAATAAATGAAAGTTTTAAAATATTTAGATTTTTCAAAGTATTCATTTTTATTTTTTCGTTTATTCATTTTTGATTTTTCAATTTTACAATACTCAACTTTTCCATTTTTTTGATTCGAAATATTGAAAAATCGAAAAAATCATATCGAAGAACTGAAGAAACGAAAAATAAAAAAATCAAGGAACTGAAAGATCTAAAATTGAAAAAGCACACACTTAAAAAACTAAAAGTTATAAAATCGGAAAATAAAAAAATCGAAAAGTTGAAAAATCGAAAAGTTACAAAAAACCACAACGAGAAATTTCAAATAGAAAATTCAAAGGAATGGGAAACTGAAAAATCAAAAAAATTGCAAAATTAAAAATTGAAAACTCCTGAAATTCCAAATTCAAAAAGAAGATTCCAAAATCTAAATATTCCAACATTCAAAATTGGGAAAATCGAAAAACTGAAAAATTTAATGATGAAAACTCGAATAGTTACATATTGTAAAATTGAAAAAACAAAATATATAAAATATTGAAAAATTGCAAATCGAAGAACTAAAGAAACGAAAAATTGAAACATTGGAAAACTATAAATCTGGTAACTAAAAAATCCAAAAAATTAATCAATGGAAAAATGAGAAAGAAGAAAGAGTCGGAAAATTGGAGAACCCAAAAATTGTAAAAACAAAAACTTATATATAGAATCGTCGAAATTGTTAAATCGAAAGACTGAGACATTGAAAAATCTAAAAATTAAAAATTAAATTTGGAGAAATTCAAACTTAACGAACCGAATAATGGAAACATGGAATAAATGACAAGTTTTAAAATGCGACAATAGAAGGAAAAATGCACAAATTTTAAAAATCATAATTTAATATAAAACTGGAAAAATGAAAATCGAAGAAACGAAAAATTAGAAAAATCGAGGAACTGAAAAATCCAAAAAGGTTAAGAAAAAGCAAGCAAAAAACGACAACGAGAAATTGTACCTAGACTATTTGAAGCAACGAAAAACTCAAAAATCAAAAAATTGAAAACACGTGAAATTTAAAATTCACAAAATGCAAGATTCTGCAACATTCAAAATTGGGAAAATCGAAAAACAGAAAAATTGAATAATGAAAATGGAATAGTTGTTAATTTATTATATATCGTAGAATTGAAGAAACAAAAAAGATGAAAAATTGAAAAATTGCAAATCTAAGAACTGAAGAAACGAAAAATCTGGAAACTAAAAAATCGAAATTATAATTTTTATTAGTACATATTTAAAATAAATCTAAAAAAATTACAAATCAAAAATTGGAGAAACGAAAAATTGAAAAATCGAGGATCTGAAAAATCTTATATTGAGAAATAGAACAATAAAAAAATTTAAAAATTCAAAAATCGAAAAGCTGGAAACCGAAAATTTGAAATATCCATAAATTGAAAATCTTCACACTCACAAAATATTGAAATATCGAAAAATGAAAAAATTTAAAAGTTTAAAAAACAAAGGAAATATAAAACCACGACGAAAAATTGCAAAAAGGAAATTTGAACAAATGAAAAACTGAAAAATCAAAAATTTGAAAAATTAAAAATTCGTGAAAATCCAAATTTAAAAAATGCCAAAATTGTGAAAATCGAAAATGTGAAAAATTTCATAATGAAAACTCGAATAGTAAAACTGAAGAAACGTAAGTGATGAACAAAAGAGGAGAAAAAAACAGAAGAAGGACGGAGATTAGGAAGAAGTTTCTATCTCGACGTCATTCGTAATTTTGGACACTCTATGGTATGGGGATGTCGAGACGATATGTGCCACCAGTGGAGGTAGAATAATGTCTAACGCACATGACGGGATCGATTACTACTGAAGAATATGACAGTACATGTATTTCAATAACATCCTGTATATTTTGAAAAATATTTTATTAATGAAAGCAGAGTTAAATAAAAACAGACAGTAAAATAAAACTGTTGCATCGAAGGTTAGTATATTAATTAAAACTCGAACTGCTGCTCCAGCTAACCTTGATTTTTTGTCTATCTCGTAAAAATCCTGTTTCCATTTAGTCTGGTTTTAATTACGATCCCTTACCATAAAAATGATCTTAATCCAAATTACATCCACTCAAATGCACCATGTCAGTTTCCAGTACACACGTATATTTTTACAACATTAAGTAATGTATTGACGTATTGTTGTGATTTTTGCTGTCTGAGTCGTGTTTACTGATAAAACTGGTAAAATACACAATGCAAAACATTATACCTGCATTATAAACCACTTACAAAAAAAGTGTATTTATCATTAATCCTTCAAGAACCAGTTCTTCCACAAAAATTGTATTTATTTATTCTCGTGCTGGTTGTCACACTCGAGCTAAATCACTTGCGATCAATAAATTTAAATTTGGCAGTGAGAAATGTGTTTTAAACTATTCGTACTTTGTTTAGTCAAAACTACCGTTCTAATAAAACTAACAGGTAACTTAATTTATTTTTAACTTTATTGAGCCCAATATTCCCTCTTTTCCAAAAGAAGCGATACCAGAAATCAATAAAGACTATGACCTGATGCCACAACTCTTCAAATTTGACGATTTTTACCAGTGCTTGTACCGTCAAGAAGACACTTCTTATTGTCTAGTTTCCATAAAGCTAAATCCGGAAAATCCGGCAAATACGACTAAAGTTTGGAACGTTATCAAGGTACCCATTTTTCGTAGTAGTCTGGAATATGTATATTTTCAGAAATTTTAGGATGTTAGCTCAAACACAGACAACTACCGGCACGATCTACTCAGACACGGACTCTGTCTTCCGAACCACTGCGAACACTGTAGTGCGAATTTCTCCCAAAGAGTGGAACAAATCTACGACGAAAAATTCAAAAATCTGGGACTGGTGACTACCGTGGACAAAATTCGTTGTGAAACGAAAAATTCGGACTACGTGGTTGGAAAACTGGACTATATTTTAGCGTACGTGGTATCCATTGAGTGCCAAAATACTAAACCTGTTCACTTCTAGTATATTAGCGGCTTCAGGTTTCGTCTTCGTAGTTACACTATCGTTCGCTTTGGAACTCTTCAAGTACCAATCGTCAGAAAAATATGACACTTTTTCAAAAACAGGGGGTATATAGTATGAGTGTCCACCTGAAGTTCGACGTTTTCACGCTCTTTTCACAGTTGGTCACATTCTCACTTGTTTTTCCGTCTCCCAAAACTGGAAAATTCTGACCAAAATAAACCCCAAGGACTACAAGTCGGATTTTGTGCCGTCTATGCAAGGAGTTCGGTTCATATGTTCAGTGTGGATTATATATGTTCACACAGCCATCGTGACTTTAGCTATTCCACTTGCCAATCCAGAATACACAGAAGAGGTATCTATATTGACACAAGAACAGACAAAACAATAAAAAATTAGGCTGTCCACAGGGTTCTAACGAGTTACCATTCCAACGGCGGTGTTCTTGTCCAAATATTCTTCGTCCTGTCTTCGTGGTTACTGGTTGTCAGTATTTTAGAAAAGTTGCAAAAGTCCAAGAAAATCACCTTTGGGTACTTGTTGGTTTACATTTTTGGCAAGTATTTTCGGTGAGTGAGTTAGATTAAGTAGTCCAATTTTACCAAAAGTACGTCGTAGATTAATTCCACTGCTGGCTCTGGTTGTTGGTTTACATAGCACGTGGCTGGTGCACTACTCCCGAGGTCCCTTCTGGGACGACCTAGTCGGAGAAGAGTACAGAATATGCAGGCAAAAGTGGTGGTTGAATCTACTCTTCATCAACAACTTCTTCACTTCTGATGGACTGGTACTTCCCCAAAGTGGACTAACGTATTAACAATCTAAAAATTTTAGTGTTTGATACAGTCGTGGTACATGGCAGCGGAGTTTCAGCTCTTCGTACTAGGCTCCATTATTTTGTGGTTAATACAAAGCAAACCCCGAAGAATACTCATAATTTGTGGGGCGATAAATCTGATTTTTATAGTTGGACTTTTTTGCTACTTGTTTTGGAGAAATTTGGAAGTCGGGTTTAAGTTTACGCCAGAGTGAGTACTTAATTTAAGTACGGGAAGTCACTCAAGAGTTAATATTTTAGGGCGATGTATAACTTAAGTCTATCGTCCAACTACGAGTGGAATTTCTCGTGGACTTCCACAATTATGAGTGTTCCAGGTTTTGCTGTGGGTATGTGTTTTGGGTACGTTTTTTGGAAATACAAAGAGGAAAAAATTTTCACAAAGAAGGTAATTTTCGTTGGGTCATTAGGAACTGTGACAAGGATTTCTTGTAGAGTCATATTCTAACAGTGTGGATATTGTGTCTAGCTCTGGTACCACTTTCAGTTTTTACTTATACGTTCTATGTATATAGTGGCTACTACTCCAACAGTAGGTGGTTTGCATCCATCTATGGAAGTGTATACAAAACGATTTTTTCGTGTGGAATAGGGTTAATGCTGTTCGGTATGTCCCAAGGACTTGGAGGTCTGTTTACATTTTTTTCATTTCTTCTTTTATTGTATAATATTTGTGTATAGGTTTCTTGAAGAAAGTTTTTGAATATCCTCTTTTCCACGTTATGGCCCAGCTTTCTTATGGTGCTTTTGTTGTACATTTTTCCATAGCGAGAGTCAACGCCGGTCTTAAAATGTACCCGCCCTTGATGGCTGACTATGTTATGGTAAGTTAGGCCAGGTGATAATAAAATAACACATTATGAATTATTTTTTAATAATTTTTAGTTCGGAGACATAATTGTTACGGTGTCACTCTCCTATCTGGTATCCCTGTTTCTAACTATATTTGTTCAAATGCCATTTACCATAATGTCGAAGAAAATGATGTTTATGTTAAAGTAATCATGTTATGAGGAATATAAAATTTGTGTTAAATTATAACCCGTCATCGTTTTATTAAAAACAACTTCTTTTAACTTTCAGTTTATTTAATCTTTGAGAAAACACAGGTGTATTGTTGGTTGCCTACAACATAATTCCTTGACAATGTAAAAATTTAATAAAATGGGCTGTGTATTCTTCAAAGCCAGTAAAAAAATTCTGGAAGGTTATTTTGACAGAAGTTCCTTCACCCTTAACTCTTAACCTTTATAAAGTGGCGCATAACATCCCCGCACCCCTGCGTCTTTAAATATGAAATATATTTAAAGCAGATGACTAACGGGACAAAATATAGACATTCTAAATTTCTCAGTATATGCTTAACTAGTTAACTTCGACTGTTAATGGTCGCCTGAGAACTTGTTTGATTTACAAACCAGAGCGCCCTCAGGCCAGTGTCGACTCTAAGGGTTCAGAAGCGATTTGGTTGTTTTTTTTTGGTTAACTAAGAATTAAAATAATCGAAATTCTGAAAAATCGGGAAATCTAAAAATCGTGAAACCAAGATGTCAAGAAATCGAAACATAAAAATATCGAAAAATGTAAAATTTAAAAAATCGAAAAATTGAAAAATCGGATCATTGAAAATCGAAACTTCGAAAAACTGGAAAATCGAAAAACCGAAAATCCGACAATAAAAAATCGAAAAACCGAAAATTGAGAAGTAGAAAATTCGAAAAATTGAGAAACCGAATAAGGCCAAAATAAAAAATCTAAAATTTATAAATTGAAAAATTCATAAATCGAGAAACTGAATAATCAAAACATCGAAACGTCCAAACCCCGATAAATCGGGAAATCCAAACGTTGAAAAATCGAAAAAATTTTAAATGAAAAATTAATAAATCGAACATTTGAAAAAAACGAAAACTCGAAAAACAGAAAATCTAAAACCGGGAAGTCTAAAAATCGAAAGATTAAGAAATCGAAACATTTGAAGAACTCGAAAAAATTTTAAACATTAAAAAATTAAAACATCGAAAAATCCAGAAGTTAAAAATTGAAAAATTGAACAATTGAAGAACAGGAAAATCAAAACTGTCGAAAAGTCAAGAAATGGAAAAACTAAAACATCGATTAACTGAAAAACTGAAAAATTGAAGAATTGAAGAACAGGAAAATCGAAACTGTCGAAAAGTCAAGAAATAGGAAAACTAAAACATCGATTAACTGAAAAATCTTAAAATTGAAGAGAAAAATTGAGAAAACGTAAAACTGAAATTTCGGAAAACTGAGAAATTGTAAAATTAAAAATTGAATAATAAATAATCTGAAAAATCCCATAACTGACATTTCGAAAAATTTAAAAGTTAAAGAAAAACTGAAGAATGGAAAAACTGAAATATCCAAAAACTGAGAAATTTAAAAATTGAAAAAATGAGAAATCAATAACTCAAAAAAATGAAGTCGAAAAATCAAAACCTTAAGGAATTGAAAAATTGCAAAATAAAAATCTAAAAATAGAAAAATTGACGAATTAAAGGAATGAAATCGAAAAACTGAGAGTTAATAAAAGTAAAATTTGAAAAATTGCAAAATTGAGAAATCGAAAAATTTAAAATCGCGAAATTGTAAAATCGAAAAATTAATTAATAAATGAACTGAAAAATCCCAAAACTGAAATTTCGAAAAACTGAACAATGCAAGAAAAAATGAAAAATCCAAAAACTGAAATATCCGAAAACAAAGAAATTAAAAAATTGGAAAATTGAGACATCGAAAAACTGAAAATCGAGAAATTGAAAAATTGAATTATAAATAATCTGAAAAATTCAAAACCGAAGAATAGAAAAACTGAAATATCCAAAAACTGAAAAATCAGAAAATTGAAAATTTGAGAAATCAAAAGGTCAAAAACGTCAAGGCGAAAACTCAAAACATTAAAAAATTGAAAAATTAAAAAATCAAAGACCTAAAAAATTGAAAAATTGAAAAGCTGAGAGTTTATAAGTCAAAATTGAAAAATTGCAAAAACCATATTTAAAAATCGTAAAATTGAAAACGAAAAAAATTGGAAAAACCTAAAGTTGACGCATCAGAAAATTAAGAAATCGAAAAATTGAAAATCGTGAAATTAAAAAATTGAGAAATTGTAAAATCGAAAAATTGCATAATAAATAAACTGAAAAATCCCAAAACTGAAATTTCGAAAAATTGAACAACGAAAAAAGCTGAAAAATCCCAAAACTGAAATATCCAAAAACTGAGAAAAAAGTGAAGTCGAAAAAATCGAAACACTGAAAAATCAAAAACCTGAAAACTGAAGAATTGAAAAACTGAAAAATCGGAACATTCGAAAGTCAAGAACTGGAAATCAAAACTTAAATTAATTGAAAAAAAAAAAAATTGAGAGTTTATAAAAGTCAAAAATTGAAAAATCGTAAAATTGAATAGGAGAAAAACTGAAAAAACGTAAAACTGAAACATCGGAGATTTGAGAAATCGAAAAAGCGGAAATCGAGAAATTAAAGAACTGAAAATAGAACAATAAATAATAATCTGAAAAATCCGAAATCTGAAATTTCGAAAAACCGACCAATGAAAGAAAAACTAAAGAATGGAAAAACTGAAAAACCTCAAAACTGAAATATCGGAAACTCAAAACCGTAAAAATTGCAAAATCAAAAACCCAAAAAAAAATTAAAAATTGAAGAATTGAAAAAATGAAAAATCGTAGAGCTGAGATTTTACAAAAGTCAAAATTGAAAAATTGCAAAAATCAAATATTTAAAAATCGAAGAGGCGAATTGCAAGAGGTAAAATTGAAACATCGGAACTTGAGAAATTATAAAATTGAAAAATTGAATAATAAACTGAAAAATCCCAAAATTGAAATTTCGAAAAATTGAAAAATGAAAGCAAAACTGCAAAATCTCAAAACTGAAACATCCAAAAACTGAGAAATTAAAAAATTAAAATTGAAAAGTCATGAAGTCGCAAATTTAAAAAAATTGAGAAACTGAAATAGGCCAAAATTGAAAAACGAAAAGTTAATAGTAGTTGAAAAATTGGAAAATCGAAAAATCTAAAAGGGGAAAAAGAAAAAAACGGGAAAAACGGAAAAACTGAGAAACCGAAATATGTCAAAATAAAAAATCGAAAAGATATAAATTGAAAAACTCGAGAAAATGAATAATTAAAATATCGGGACATTCAAATTTCGATAAATCGGGAAATCAGAACATTAAAAAATGGAAAAATTTAAAAATTGAAAAATTAAAAACTGGACAATTTGGATAAACGAGAAATCGAAAAACAGACAATCTAAAACCATGAAGCCGAAAAATCGAAAAATTAAGAAATAGTAGCATTTGAAAAATTCGAAAACTTGAAAAATTGAAATATCCAAGAAATGAAATGAAAAATCAAGAAATCCAAAAATCTAAAATTTTAAAAATTGAAAAAACGAAAAAGTAAAAAAATCGACACATCGAAAAATCCGGAAGTCAAAAATCGAAAAGTCGCAGAATCGAAACATTAAAAAATCTCAAAACTGAAATATCAAAAAACTGAAAAATGAAAGAAAACTGAAAAATCCCAAAACTGAAATATCGTAGAACTGAGAAAAAATCGAACAATTGAAAAATCAAAAACCTGAAAAATCGAAAAACTGAAGAACCGAAGAACAGGAAAATCGAAATAGTCGAAAAGTCAAGACATGGGAAAACTAGAACATCGATTAATTGAAAAATCGAAAAATTGAGAACTTAGAAAAGTCAAGAATTTGAAAAACTGAAAAATCAAAATATTTAAAAATCGTAAAATTTAAGAGTAGAATTGAAAAACGTAAAACTGAAATTTCGGAAAATTGAAAAATTAAAGAATTAAAGACAAACTCAAGAATGGAAAAACTGAAATATCCAGAAACTAAGAAATTTAAACATTGAAAAAATGAGACATCAATAAGTCAAAAAAGTCAAGTTGAAAAATCAAAACCTCAAAAAATAGAAAAAAATGTTGAAATCAAAAACATAAAAATTGAAAAATTGAAGAATTGAAGAAATAAAAAATCGAAAAACTGACAGTTTATACAACTTCAATTTGAAAAACTGGAAAACGCCAATATTTAAAAATTGTAAAATTGACGAGGAAAAAAATTGGAAAAACGTAAAATTGAAACAACGGAAAATTGAGAAATCATGAAGTCGCAAAATTGAATAAAAATTAAACTGAAAATCCCCAAAACTGAAAATTCGAAAAATTGAGAAATAAAAAAAAACGAAAAATCCCTAAACTGAAACATACAAAAACTGAGAAATTAAAAGATTAAAAAATCGAAACAGTCGAAAGTCAAGAAATGGGAAAATCAAAACATGGTTTAATTGAAAATTTAAAAATCATAAAATTGAAAAGGAGAGAAATTAAGAAAAAGTGAAACTGAAAGAGCCGAAAGTTGAGAAATTGTAAAATCTAAAAATTTGGACCAATAAATAATCTGAAAACTCCCAAAACTGAACTTTCGAAAAATTCAACAATAAAAGAAAAATTGGAGAATGGAAAAACTGAAAAATCGCCAAACTGATATATCCAAAAACTGAGAAATTAAAAAAATGAAAATTTGAGGAATAAAGAAGTCAAAAAAGTTATGTCGAAAACTCAAAACCTTAAAAAATTGGAAAATCAAAAATCTGAAAAATTGAAAAATTGAAGAGGCGAAGAAATGAAAAATCGAAAAATAGAGTTTATAAAAGTCAAATCTGAAAAACCGCAAAAACTAAATATTTAAATATTGTAAAATTGAAGAGGAGAAAAATTGCAGAGACGTAAAATTGAAACAACGGAATACTGAAAAATTGAGAAATCGAAAAATCAAAAAAAGTCGAAAAATCTAAATCTTAGAAAATAAAAAAATTGAAAAATCAAAAATCTGAAAAATCGAAAAATTGATGAATTGAAGAAAAGAAAAATTTACTTTTTTTATTTAATTTAAAAATTGGTCTGTTTTTAAAAAAAGTATACAGTAACATACAATTTAAGGCGTGACATTTAAAGTCATATGTTATATTATTAATTACTTTTTATTTATGCTAGTGGAAAAATTACCCGTTAAACTGAAAGTTTTGTTAAATATTTTTATTAATGCATCAATGTTCGAAAACCTTTCCTATCAAGAATAAATCAAGACAAATTACAGTTTATAAAATTAGACTGAATTTAAAAAACATGTAATTGTATATAATACAACAGATTCTCTAATTTCGGTAAATATCAAAAAGGGATATTGTCTGAACCTTGCTTGACCGATTAGTCATTTCCTTTGACTGATTGTGCATTTTCTGACTTCCATTAAGCCCTCGATTTACCACTAATTAACTTTATCTCCCACAACACAAAAAACAATCTTTCTTTCACAACTTTATTGTTATCATAATTTACTCATTACAACTAACAAGAAAATTACTAAGTACCACGATCCACTCTGAATCCACAAGCAATTTCTAATCTCTTAGTCTTTCCGGGATTAGGGTTTAAGTTTGATTGATCGCCTAATACCAATGATCGATCATCCCGAAAAATGCGCTTCATTAATCCATTGTCCTCACTTCATTCTTACCAAACTTTTCATTTTCAAAATTTTTTCCCTTTGAAAAAAACAACACACATAAAATCGTTTCAAAATTCCGAAGTTTCTACCCCGACTATTAGCTACGAACACCACATTTCCTACTCCCGTGTCGCAAATTCTTTATCAATCCACCACCTAATCCCTTGTCATTCATTGTTCGCATTATCAAATCACGTCTCTGCCACGATTTGATCCCTCATATAAAGAAAAATCACTTAGTAATTATCCCAGTTGGCAAAATGTTTCGCCACGTGTGTATTCTTCTGTGTGCGTTGTTGTCTTCAGTTACAGCTTTAAACGAGATCAAAATCGAAGCAAGAGCTTTAAAGGACATCGGTAGAATTAATTGCTTGCTTTACCAAATCTAAGTAGAATTTGCAGCTCCAAGAATTGTGAACGGTGATGAGGCGTCGTTGGGTCAATTTCCCTGGCAAATAGGCATCTATGGACGAAACTCGGTCGGATATTATTTCTGTGGAGGATCTTTTATCAGTGAAGAGTGGGTTCTGACGGCGGCGCATTGTCTTGACGGGTAAATATTGAAAACTGGAAGAAAGTTTGTCTAAAATGGGGTTATAGAGCCATAGGTGCTAACATATATTCCAACGCGACGAAAATTTCTGACTCAACTAAAGTAGTCTCCCAAGCGATTCAGTTTATACAACACGAAGGGTACATTGCTGATTTGTTGCGAAACGACATTGGTTTGATTAGATTGAAGGAACCTGTTCAATTTAACGGTACGTTTTTTTGGTTTTAGGACGAAATGACTGACTACTTTTTTCAGAGTACACCAAACCCGTTGCTCTAGCGATTAAGGACCCTCCTGTAGGCACCAACGTCACTGTAAGTGGCTGGGGCGTCACTAAAGACTGTAAGTTTGATTTGTTTCTTAAAGCTTTGACTAGTATTTGGTTTGTAGCCGACTTGTACACCAGCGACATTCTTTACTACACAAATGTCGAAACTATTACTAATGAGGCTTGTACTAGAATCTACGGAAGCAACTATATCGTAGATCAAGTGATTTGCGCTAATCCTGGAGATCCTCATACAAGTCCTTGCCAGGTAGACGCCAAATTTGGGAAAATATGGTTTTAAAAGTTGCTTTTTAGGGAGATAGTGGGGCACCAGTTGTCGTTCTAAATTCATGTGGGATACCAGTACAAATCGCTGTGTTTAGTTTCACCAATGGCTACGGCTGCGAATATCCCTATCCTTCAGGAAACACGAGGGTGTCGTATTTCAGGGACTGGATTAGAGAAAAAACCGGAATTTAATTTTATGTTTGGAAAATTTGACCCGTGTAGATAATAAAATCAGGATTGTAGCACTTATTTCTGACTTATCAGTTTTAATCAAAAGATTAGATTAATAAATGATTTTTTAAAATACTGTCCCAAATAAACATGATTTACTTTGTGCTCTGTTTTATTGCGTCGGTTTTCTTAAGAGAAAACAACGGGGTTTTTAGTGGTAAGTAAATTGTACTGAGTCAGTTTTTGGGATCTAAACATGCAACTGGTTGCAGCTGAAGTTCGAGTTATAAATGGCCAAAATGCCACTAAGGGTCAATTTCCTTGGCAAGTCGGAATTTTGAAGATAAAATCAAACATGGAACTGCTTTTTTGCGGCGGGACCATCATTAGTGAAGAATGGGTTCTAACATCCGCCAACTGCCTCTACGAGTAAATATTTCAAATACTCAAATTCGGCTAGCGATTAATGATTTTTAGTGCCCAAGAACTAGGGGTATATTCTGGGGTGGTTGACATAACTGACTTCGATAGAGTTATTAGTACTTCATCCGACTACATAATCCATGAAGATTTTGACTCCTTGACTCTCCAAAACGATATTGGAGTAATACACCTTGATCCTCCTCTAGTGTTCAGCGGTAAAAGTACCCAGAAATTAAACTACGCCACATATGAATATGTTATATAATTTTAGACTATACTAGCGCAGTTGTGCTATCAGATGAAAAACTACAACCTGGTACTGACGCTATAGTCACCGGTTGGGGACACTCAACTCACGGTACCACCCACAACTGGTTGTTTAAGTTTTGATCATTTTGTTTTAGATTATGCGGCAAATGTGACTGATATTTTGCAATACGCTTCAGTTTCGGTTCTTGATAATTCCGACTGCGAGAAAATTTACGGTGATGTTATTTCTCCGAGTATAGTTTGCGCGATTGGAGACAATCCAGTGAAAAATCCGTGTTTTGGGGATGCAGGTGGTCCCCTTGTCGTCAATATTGACGCTTATCCACTTCACGTGGCAATTTTTAGCTTTGTTAGTGCTGAAGGGTGTGACTCTTATCCTTCTGGTTATACAAGAACGGCTTATTTTAGGAATTGGATAAAAGAAAAGACGGGTGTTTAGTTTTTTTCGTACAAATAAAAAAATTTTGGATACGAACATAATTATGATGCTGAAGTATCAGATACATATCCTGAAAATTCATTCAGATTTGAAATTAAAGTAGCAACAACTACATAATTTATTTCTTCTCGTAGTATTAATTTATTATTTGCATTACAGGCTTAATAAGATAAATAAAATAAATAAAATAAATATTCAAGTTCCTTTAACTTCCGTACTTCTTTCATCCAGTCCAGTCCTCTTCCATCCTCGTTTAGCACTTCTTTCTTACTTTCCTTCGATTCTCTCAATCCTTCACATCCTTCCTTCATATGCTCTATTGTTTCTCCCTCTCTCCAACATATCCTATAGCGTCTGTCAGTTTCATCGATCCAAAAATTATTCTCTTTCTCTTCATTTCCACACCTAAATCTCGCCATCATTCTTTTCTCCTTTATACTTTCTCTGTTTGTGTACTTTGGTACTTCATTCTTTACTATTTTTCTATACTCTGCATTATATCTAGACTCCGATATTCTCGATCTGCGTTCTTGCTTATCTATATCCTTATCTCTTACACTCAGTTCTTCTTTCATACTCCTTCCCATTTCTCTCATTCTTTCTATTTCTTCACATGCATATCCCTTTCCTTCATAATACCTGTCTCTTTCGTTCCAAACATGTTCTCCCCCTTCCTTTCTTATTTCTTTCCAACATTCTTGCAATATTTTGCAATCACTTCTCTCACTAAACTTCTTTTCAAATCCGACCGCCCTTTTACCCACTTCCATTCTCATTTTCTCCCTTTTTGTTTTTTTCTCTCACTGTATACCCCGGCGTATACTTTTCCACTCCCAATGTCCATTTTAAGTATTTTTATTGCACTCTCTCTATTTCTTCATATTCCCTCCATCCCCAAATCTCAGCTGCATACATAAATACTAGGGATGTACCGACTAGTGGCCGACCGGTCGGATAAGCCGACTATTCGGCCGTTTTTCATCGTCGGCTGCAGTCGGCGACTAGTCGGCTAAACAGCCGATTGGTCGGCTTTTTTTATTAAAATTAAAATAGTATATAAAACAATTAAACCCGGTTTACAGAACCTCAATTAAATATTTAATTGCGATTTAATTTTTAACCCTGCGTTAAAGTACCATGTGACCGACTCTACGCCAATCAGACGTCGCTAATGGCCTTGTTAAATGCGCGATCAACTTAATCTGAGTTTAAATATTGTATAAACTGGCCCTAAATTGTGTTATTCTTTATTTTTGTACTGTGTTACTAAAAAAAATTAAATGTTAAAGTTATCCAAACTAATTTAACACATTTTTTGGAAAACAAAGGAACTTTAGTTATTCCTTTTATTAAAATAGAACAAATCTTTAAGGTAGTCAGAGAAATAGAAAAAAAAAACACACTGTTTGTCGCATTTATAAACCGGTTTTAGCAATGCCGAACAGTCGGCCGACTAGTCGGCTTTTACTGGCCGAACAATGGGCTAGTCGGTTAGTCGGCCAGACCTACAGTCGGTACATCTCTAATAAATACACTTTTGATCAAACTACCAAAAATCATCATTCTTCTCTTATAATCATGTCCTAATTTTCTCTCTGCCATTTCGCTTTGTTCGCTTTTTGGACCATTTCTTGAATAAGCGCTGTATCTTTAATGTATATCCTAAGTACTGGAATTCTTTCAGCTGTTCAGTCCTCTTCCTTCTCCATGCCCACTCATCCTTCTCCTTTCTTACTTTCTTTCCAAACACCATCATTTTTGTTTTTTCCACATTCACTTCCAATTCCTTTTTTTGTACGTACTTCTCGAAATTTTAAATCATTGTTTTCATTTTTTCTCTTTTCTTTGCCACCATCACTAAACCATCTGCGTACGCCAACGACCACACTTTCTCTTTGCCCACTACCACCCTTCGTGTCTGTCTTTTCTGAACATTTCATCTATATCTCCTAGCTAAGCTGCAAACAATGCGGGGCTCAGTGGGCATCCCTGTCTCACTCCTCTATTTGTATTAAAACTCTTCCTCTCTATTCCATTCACTATCACCTTATTTACTATTTCTTGATATGTTTCTTCCATTCCATCCAAGAATTGTCAAAGGAAAACAATTAACATAAAGGTACAGTACATTAGAAACTTATACATTTAATAAAATATAGCGGATATGCTATGTTAGAAATTCGCTAATTGCGTAATAATTTTTTTTTAATAGAAATTTTTTTATTTCAGATTTAAAGACAAGAAAATTAGACGCATTTTTAATGTCGCAGTCAAGACTGTTAAAAAATTTGCAGCAATTAAAATGCAAACTTCTCTGATAGTGAGCTGTCTTGTGCCGTCTTGGTAACAACAAATCCTTGTGTCTTGTATTGTGTTCGAAGTCTGTTCTATTATTTTTGAAGTTGTTTATGTTTTTGTATGAGTATGATAAAATTTCACATATATATAAGCTTGGCAGCGTCAGGATTCCGTGTTGGTGAAAAGTTGATCTACAAGAGTGTCGGTTTTTTAGGCCCCCTAAAATTCTTACTGCCCTTTTTTGTAATATGAATACACGGTTAAAATCAGGAGAAAGGCCCCTGTGCGTAATACCGTACTTTAGAAGACTCTGAAAGTTAGCAAAATGAAGTTGCTTTGCCGTGGAGAAGTTACATTGTCTCATTATGTTTTTGAGAGCATAGCAGACAGACGCTAATTTAGAACATAGATGGTCTATATATGAACACCATTTTAGGTGGTTATCGAAGGAGATACCCAGTAGTTTGATAGACGGCGAACACGCAATGGTTATATTATTTAAATTGAGTGTGAATTCAGCACAATTTGCGGTATTGGAGAAAAAAGTAAATGCCGTTTTCTCGTGGTTAATACACAGTTTATTTTTTGTGACCCATTTTTGTGCCAAAGTGTAAATATTTGTAGCCTTATTAATGACTTCAGTGGTATCGCCACCTGTGATTATGAAATTAGTGTCGTCAGCATATGACATTACTGAGCAGTTAAAAGACTTTTTCATGAGCATTAATAAGTCATTAATGAAAATTATAAACAGAATAGGACCAAGAATAGATCCTTGTGGCACTCCTACAGTGATGCCTACTTCTGCCGACAGGGTGTTATTTACCAACACTTTTTGTGTTCTGCCGGATAGATAGGACCTAAACAGCTGTAAGGCCACACCTCTTACACCGTATCGTTCTAATTTTTTGATTAATAGGGAATGACTTACACAATCAAAGGCCTTCGTGAAGTCGATGAATAATCCCAGACAGGGAATGTTTTTGTCTATACAAGTAGAGATTATAGAAAGATAAGCTGCCAATGCTGTGTCTAAATTTTTTCCCTTTGTGAAGCCATGCTGCGAAGGATCTATTAACTGATGTGTTGTCAAAAAAGATGTAATACCATTGTTAATAACGCGTTCAAAAATTTTAGATAGACTGCATAAAATACTAATAGGTCTATAATTGGTGATTAGTTGGTCGTCACCTTTTTTATGCAGTGGAACTACTATAGCCTTTTTTAGGGAGTTGGGAAAATGACCATTTAATAACGACAAATTGATAATGTGTGCTATAGGTTCGCAAATAGTTTTTCCCACTTTTTTAAAGACGCTATTAGGTATTTCGTCATGTCCAGCAGATTTAGAATTCTTCAGTTTGTGTATGATCTGAAGAATGTCAGAACCTGTGACTGGTAAAAAATTTAAACTATAGGGCGATAAATCAATGTTATTAAGTAGAAAATCGGAGTTATTTACTATGTTATCGTCAATTATATTTAGAGCCAATTCTGAGAAATTTTTATTGAAAAGATTAGCACAAGCTAGATCAGTTAAGACATGTCCATTTTCAGAGATTCGTATTTCACCCCTTGTTTTTACTTTATTTGAAGATTCTCTAATAATCTCCCACATTGTTTTGTTTTTGTTAGATGTGACTAACCTGTGTTCGTTGTAATTTTGCTTTGATTTTATTAACACCTCTTGATATTCTTTATTTATTTTTTTGAATTGATCTTTAAAAATGGGAAAGTGTTTACTAAGATCTGCATATAGGGAAACAGTCTTTTTTAAGTTACGAACTTCCGGTGTAATCCACTTTTTTTTTATGTTCCTTAGATGTGCACTTAATTTGTTTTATTGAGAATGACAAGTCGAAAAGTCTGTTAAAGATTGACATGAAAAAATCAAAAGCTGCTTCAGTGTCAGTTATATCATATAATGGGGACCAGTCCTGATTTTTTAGTGCATCGTAAAAATGTTGATAATTTTCTTCTTTGAAATTACGTATAGATTTGTAGTGAGGTGGTTTTTTATTTTGATTAGGGGAACTATTTTTGGAAATACCTATCTCTTGTGCAAGATGGTCAGCTAGACTAAGATTTAACACTTGTGTGTAATAACTGGGGGTGTCTGCAGAGATGAAAATGTTGTCAAGACAGGCATGATTCCGAGTCGGTTCAGATATGGTATGAACTAAATTGAAGGTCATTAATAAATCTAATAAGTACTTTTTATCTGGGGAGTCATTCAAGAAGTCTACATTAAAATCGCCTGTAACAACAATTGTTTTGTTATAGGGAATTATGGATAGCATATCCGCTAAAAGATCTAAGAATAGGTTAAAATTTCCAGAAGGAGGCCTATACAAAGCAATAACGATAAGGTTCATGTCCAATATATCTATGCCACAGCATTCAATGATGTTAGCTACCGATTGTTTCTGAAATTGTAGTAAAGTTGTAGACCTTATATTATTCTTCGTATAGATCGCTACTCCTCCATGTTTATTTTTATCTCGACAAAAGCTACAACATAAAGAATAAATTTCCAAATTTATAAACTGAATTTGGTCGATGCATTGCCAATGTTCGCTTAATAATAAGATATCAGGTGTACGTTCTTCTAAAACGACCTCAAGTTTTTCTACTTTGTTACCTATACCTTGCATGTTTTGGTGTAATAACCGAAGTACGTTTTGTTCTATGTTTTCACTACATCCTCTTTTGTTTTTGTAAAAACCGATCTTGGGAAATAAAATCTGCTTACTTGCACACCAGGTGGCCAAAACCCAGAATCGTATATACGTTCCTTTTCGCTGAAGGGTGCGCTTACTTTGAATACAGGATATTGACTTTTGGACTCCACTTTTTCGCAGGTGAACGTTATTCCATCAGAGGAGTTTTTTCGTAAGTATTCCAAGATATTTTCTTCTTGAGTTTTGGGATGGATACGCCTAATGCAAAACCACAGTTTTTTCTCCACGCCACTGAAGTTTTGGGTATCTTTGTCACCACCTGTTCCTATGATTGATCTTGATTTCCTCCTTTTCTGAGAGGTGACAACTTTAAAGCCATCTTTGCTATTTTTGTTAACTAGAGTAACATCAGCAGGGGTTTTGGAAGCTATAGCCTCTACAGACGTTACCGTTGGAGATTGGTCAGTTTTCCAGGATTTGACATTGAAGATGTTTCTTGGTTTAGATAAGTCCTGAGTGGTAATTATGTCAACGGTAGGAGACTGAGTGGCACATTTTTCATTTTTACTCTGTTTTCCGAGTGACAACTCTGGTTCATGTCGTTTCAAATCATTATCCTTAGATGTTTTATTTGTAGCTTGCAATTGAGTGCGTCCATCTTCCGCCGCCACATCTTTTTGAACTTTTTCATGTGGTGTCATCCGTATCTCTTGTCGTTTTATATCGATAGGTGGTAAGTTTTTTACCAAAGCTGTACTGCTCGATGTGATGGATACTGTTTTTAATTGTGTTCTAACTGTTTCTAGCTCATTGAAAAGCAAAACTAAACGTTCATTGACAAGTGAAAATTGTTGTTGTACCAAAGTGTTGTGCCGCTGCTGGTTGATCTCCGCTTGCCTCCTCTCTTCGTACAGCTTCTGCTGTAGCTCCGACTTTTTAGTGAGTAAATCTTTGATAAACAAACACAGACTGTCAGTAGAAATTCTTTGCTCCTTAGTTGCACCTTTTATAATTGAGTTTTCCCGTAATGGAGAAAGTTGAGTATTTGATCTATGCTTATCTGATGCATCCTCGTCAGGGTTAATCTCTAGAATTGCAGCTGTAGCTGATGCTGCTGTGTCACAACACTTCCTCTTGTTATAGCAGCTTATATGCGACCAGACACAACAATCTGAGCAATAAACACGTTTTTTTACAACAGGATTACTGCACACAGAGCACAGCACTTTTTCTGTTAAAGTTTTCTCGTCAGCCATGTTTGTTAAATATATACCCCTTGCTTCCATCTCCTTTCGTAACCTCTCACTTAGTATCAGTGCGTATATCTTGTACGCCGTATTGAGTAAGGTGATCCCTCGGTAGTTCTTCACATCACTTTTTTGTCCCTTTTTAAGTAATGGGATTATTATATCTTCTCTCCAGTGCCGAGGAAACCCTTTTCCCTTCTAAACTCCATCTACCACTTCCCATATCCTTTCTTTCACTCCTTCTGTCTCGAACATCCACGCTTCGTTCTGGATTCCATCCCCTCCTGGTGCCTTTCCTCTTTTCAGTCTTTCAATCTGTCTTCCTATTTCATTTTCTGTTATTTCCGAACCTCTCCACATTTCTTCCGTCGTTGTGATTCCTTTATTTATTCGTGTATTTTGATTTTCCTACTGACTTCTCTGTTTCATTTTTACATATCTTCATACTTCTTCTTCTGTTTTCAGGGACTTTATTGTCTTCTCTTCTTTTTCTCGTTTTTCTCTTTTTCTTTCTTCACATTTTCTCCTATAATTCTCTCTTGCTTTTAAGTACTCTTCTTTCCTTCCCCTGTTATTCTTCCATTTTCTTAGTTTTTTCCTTGTTTTTCTCTCCAATTCACTATATTCTGCATTCCATCCATTATTCCTTTCTTGCCAGATGTATATCTTTCTTTTTTCCGTAGCTTCTACAATTAAGTTGATCAGTTCTGCTATCATAGCTTCTATATCTTCTTTTACTTCGAATTTCTTTTTTTCTAGTCTACTTCTGTATCTTTGAATTCCCTCTTCATCCCATATTCTTTTTTCTATTTCTTTTGTTTCGTTTCTTCTTTCTTGTTTTTCGTACTCTTGCTCTTTTCCTTTGATTTTTATTTCTAGTGGCATGTGGTTTGATTCTACCCTTTCCCCACTTTGAAACTCCGTATTTCTTCCCACGTCCCTTCGTTGACAATCCCATAGTCTATAATTGATTCTCCCCTAGCCCCTACGTACGTCCATTCTCCTTCTTCATCTCCTTCCTTGTTTCCATTCAAAATTTCCCATCCCATTTGTTTTTTTATCTTCCACAATATTTTCTCTTCTTTGTTATTTACTATGTCTTTTGATCCTCTTTTCTCTCCCTTTTCTTTGTCTATTATTCTTGTCCCCTTATCGCCGAGTCTGGCGTTAAAATCCCCTCCTATAAGTATTTTTTCATTTCCTTTTTCTTTTGATTCCTTTTCTATGTTTATCCTTATCCTTATTATATGCTTCCAGCGATATGATGCTAAGATACTACACTAGAATTTTTTGAGTTGTTTAACCAAACATCTCATAGTTACGGAAAAAAAGACACTTTTTTATTAAAAAAACAGCAACTCTATAACTAGATATTTATTTTTTCTTTGATCCAGTCTCTGTACGAAGCAACTCTTGTAAATCTAGAAGGATATTCGCCCCCACATTCCACACCACTGAGAAAACTTAGAATACCCACGAGTACTGCATCACCATCCGCATCCAGTACAAGTGGTGCTCCACCATCCCCATAACACGGACTTTCTCCAGACGGTCCATCGACCGTGCAAACCACGCCTGGTCGAACTACATCAGACCCATAAATTTTTTGACACTCTGTGTTATCGATGGTAGAAACTGTACCATACTGTAAAATATATGTGTTGTTGTCTAAATCATCTAAAAAAACATTTGCAAAGACGACACAAAAAATATACATCATTACCATACATACCATGATTGGAATGACCCCAACCAGCAACGGTTACTAAAGTATCAGCTGCCAATTCGTCGTCGGATAGTGCAATAGCACTAACATTTTCTAGAATGCAGCTACTGAAATTTAGCATAACAATTTTTCCTAATTAGTTAGTAATTACCGTTAAAACTGATAGGAGTTTCGAACTGAACTAAGGCAATGTCGTTCAGAAGGAAACCGTCATGCACTATCAACTGTTTCGAGAATTGTAGAATACCATCAGTCTTCAAGTTGCTTATAGTGGCAGCATGTAGTACTATGTTGTCAGCCCTGGAAAGTTAGACCCGTGATTGGAGATTTTGATAAATTGGTACTAACCCATTGACGCAGTGAGCAGCTGTTAGGACCCATTCTTGATTGAGAAGGGCTCCACTACATAGACGATTTGATGTGATGTTAAAAGAGCGAGCTTGTATTCCAACCTGCCAAGGAAACTGACCCAAAACAGCATCTTGTCCGTTGATCACCCGTGTATCTGTAGTAATAATTAGGTTAAATGTGGTTTCCAGATTCTTTAGTTACCATAAAAGGAATTCGTTGGGACACTCTCGATCACGTTTAGCAGCCAAACAAACCAAAGGAAAGACCTCATGTTGAAAGAATCGTTTCAAAATTTTTAAATTTAGACATCTAAATTTCAAGGTTTCCACTTGAAGAACTTATCAGTTAAGAGAGAAGTGATAAGATTACATACGGAACAGCTTTTTAGGATAACTGGAAACTAATGTGGACAAGCATTTAAGAGTAGGAAGATAAGAAAAGAGAAAAATTTAGTTTCATACCTATAGTGTAAAAAATTTAGTTTAACAACGCACAAATCTGCCCTTAGTACCGGGTTTTATCTCGGTACTATGGCGCTCTGATGGAAAATGACCGAAATAACTTACATACAATCAGTATCCCGTGGGAAAAACAAACAATATTAGACAAATTAATAAACAAGTTTCGAACCGGAATACTAATGATGGCACCGCCGAAAAGAAGCAAATTTTATCATATTTGAGACTTTCAGATTTTCCGGTTCTTTAATTTTTAGATTTTTCAAATTTTGCAATTTTTTGATTTTTGTACTTGGTTTACGAATTTTCGATTTTCGGTGTTCAGTTTTCAAATTGTTGAATAATCGAAATTGATTCATCGAGTTTTCGATTTTTCGATATCCGATTTTCGATTTTCGATTGTTCGGTATTTCACTTTTTCGAATTTCGAGACTTGGAGATTTCAAAATTTCAATTTTTGGGTATTACGGTACTGTGAATTCTCGATTTTTCGGTTTTTTGATTTTAAGATTTTCCAATTTCCCGACTTTTTCGGTTTTTCGATTTTTGGATTTTTCGACATTTAGATTTTTCGATTTGTCGACTTCTCCATGCTTCAAATTTTAATTTTGGAATTTTCGATTTGTGGATTTAGCAATATTTCTAAATTTTCGTACTGCTCAATATTACTATTTTTTCGAATCATAAATTTTCGAGTATCGATTTTAGATTATTCAATTTTTGGTTTTTCGATTTTTCGATTTTTCGATTTTTCGACTTTTGGATTTTTGGATTTTCAATTTTTTGATTTTCAATTTCCCGTATTTGGTTACTCGAATTTTCGTTTTCGATTTTCAATTTTCCTATTTTCAATTTTTCGACTTCTGTGTTTTAAATTACAATCTTACAATTTTTCGAATTTTCGATTTGTTGATTTTACGATATTTCTGGATTTTTCGTTGGACCCACTATTATTATTAGTATTATTATTTCAAATTTTCAATTTTTGGAATATTCAATTGCCGAACTTTCGATTTTTCGAGTTTCGGTTTAGGATTTTTCGGTTTTTACGATTTTCGACTTTTCGATTTTCGATTGCATGATTTTTCAATTTTTCCAATTGTCCATATTTCAGATCCTTCAAATTTTCAATTTTTTGATTTTTCAAATTTCGGTTATCAATTTTCCGATAATTTTTGATTTTTCGATCCTCGATTTTTCCAATTTTGGATTTTTTGTGTTTTCGATTTTTCGAATTTTCCATGAACCAATTTTGAGTTATTCGATTCTTCGATTTTTCGGTTTTCCAATTTTTCGATCTTTTGATTTTTAGATTTTTCGATTTCCCAATTTTTGAATTTTTTGATTTCTCGAGTTTTCGGTTTTTGGATTTTCACTTTTTTTCACTTTTTCGTATTTGGTTAGTGGAATTTTCGATTTTCGATTTTCAATTTCCCTATTTTCGAATTTTCAATTTTTCGATTATTTGATTTTCGAATTTTCAATTTTGCCATTTTAGATTTTTCGATTTTTGATTGTTTGATTTTTTAATTTTTCCAATTTTCCATATTTTATATTCTTCAATTTTTCAAATTTCGGTTATCAATTTTCAGATATTTAAATGATTAATTTTTCCATTTTCGATTTTTCGAATTTCAATGAACCAATTTTGAGTTTTTTGATTTTTTGATTTCTTGATTTTTCGATTTTTCGATCTCGATTTCCCGATTTTTCGATTTTTGAATTTTCATTTGTTTTTATTTTCGAATTTTAGGATTTGGTTAGTCGAATTTTCGATTTTCGATTTTCAATTTTCTATTTTCGATTTTTAATTTTTCGACTTTTGTTTCAAATTACAATATTTCAATTTTCTGAATTTTCGATTTGTCGATTTTAACATATTTCTGGATTTTCGTTGGACACACTGTTATTATTATTATTATTTCGAATTTTCATTTTTTCGATTATTCAAGTTTGTAATTTTCGAGTTTCGATTTACGAGTTTTCGATTTTTGATTTTTACGAATTTCGATTTTCCATTTTTCCATTTTAGATTTTTCGATTTTCGTTTGTTTTATTTTTCTATTTTTCTAAAGTTTCCTATTTCAGGTCCTTCAAATTTTCAACTTTTTGTTTTTTCAAATTTCGATCATCAATTCTCCGATATTTAAATTATTAATTTTTCAAGTTTTGGATTTTTTGACTTCAAGCTTCACTCTTTCAAATTTTCGATTTGTCGATTTTACATTATTTCTGACTTTTCGTTGGACCCACTATCATCATTATTATTTCGGATTTTCGAGTTTCGATTTACGATTTTTGGATTTTCAATTTTTTAGATTTTCGATTTTTCGTATTTGGTTAGTGGAATTTTCGATTTTCAATTTTCCTATTTCCCATTTTTCAATTTTTCGACGCTTCTGTTTCCAATTACAATCTTTCAATTTTTCGTATTTTCGATTTGTCGATTTCACGTTATTTCTGGAATTTTGTTGGATTTACTATTATTTTTATTATTTCGAATTTTCAATTTTTCGATTACTCAGTTTTCGATTTTTCGAGATCTTATTTTCGATTTTTCGATTTCTCGATGTTCTGATTTCCCAATTTTTGAATTTTTTGATTTCTCGAGTTTTCGGTTTTTTGGATTTTCACGTTTCTTAACTTTCCCATTTTTCCATATTTTAGATTCTTCAAAATTTCAACTTTCTGATTTTTCAAATTTCGGTTATCAATTTTCCGATATTTAAATTATTAATTTTTCCATTCTCGATTTTTCGAATTTTCTATGAACCAATTTTCAGTTTTTCAATTTCTCGATTTTCCGATTTCCCAATTTTTCAATTTTTGGTTTCTCAGTTTTTCGATTTGTCGCTTTTTCGATTTTTGGATTTTCATTTGTTTTTCATTTTCGATTTTTCATATTTAGTTAGTCGAATTTTCGATTTTCGATTTTCAATTTTCTATTTTCGAATTTTCATTTTTTCGATTATCCAAATTTGGAATTTTCGAGTTTCGATTTACGAGTTTTCGATTTTTGATAATTACGAATTTCGATTTTTTCATTTTTCCATTTTAGATTTTTCGATTTTCGTTTGTTTTATTTTTCTATTTTTCCAAAGTTTCATATTTCAGATCCTTCAAATTTTCAACTTTTTGTTTTTTCAAATCATCAATTCTCCGATATTTAAATTATTAATTTTTCAAGTTTTGGATTTTTCGACTTCAAGCTTCACTATTTCAAATTTTCGATTTGTCGATTTTACATTATTTCTGAATTTTCGTTGGACCTACTATCATTATTATTATTTCGGATTTTCGAGTTTCGATTTACGATTTTTGTATTTTCAATTTTTTAGATTTTCGATTTTTCGTGTTTGGTTTGTGGAATTTTCGATTTTCAATTTTCCTATTTTCCATTTTTCAATTTTTCGACGCTTCTGCTTCCAATTACAATCTTTCAATTTTTCGTATTTTCGATTTGTCGATTTCACATTATTTCTAGATTTTTCTTGGATTCACTATTATTTTTATTATTTCGAATTTTCAATTTTTCGATTACTCAGTTTTCGATTTTTCGAGATCTTATTTACGATTTTTCGATTTTTCGATTTCTCGATGTTCTGATTTCCCAATTTTTGAATTTTTTGATTTCTCGAGTTTTCGGTTTTTGGATTTTCACTTTTTTTCACTTTTTGTATTTGGTTAGTAGAATTTTCAATTTTCCATTTTCAATTTCCCTATTTTCGAATTTTCAATTTTTCGATTAATATTTAATTTTCGAATTTTCAATTTTGCAATTTTAGATTTTTAGATTTTTGATTGTTTGATTTTTTAATTTTCCCAATTTTCCATACTTTAGGTTCTTCAAATTTTCAACTTTCTGATTTTTCAAATTTCGGTTATCAATTTTCCGATATTTAAATTATTAATTTTTCCATCCTCGATTTTTCGAATTTTCTATGAACCAATTTTCAGTTTTTCAATTTCTCGATTTTCCGATTTCCCAATTTTTCAATTTTTGGTTTCTCGTTTTTTCGATTTGTCGCTTTTTCGATTTTTGGATTTTCATTTGTTTTTCATTTTCGATTTTTCATATTTAGTTAGTCGAATTTTCGATTTTCGATTTTCAATTTTCTATTTTCGAATTTTCATTTTTTCGATTATTCAAGTTTCGAATTTTCGAGTTTCGATTTACGACTTTTCGATTTTTGATTTTTACGAATTTCGATTTTTCGATTTTTCCATTTTAGATTTTTCGATTTTCGATTGTTTCATTTTTAAATTTTTCCAAAGTTTCACATTTCAGATTCTTCAAATTTTAAATTTTTTGTTTTTTTAAATTATTAATTTTTCAAGTTTTGGATTTGTCGATTTTACATTATTTCTGGATTTCCATATTTCAGATCTTCAAGTTTTCGACGTTTGTCGTTTCAAATTTCGACTTATCAATTTTCCGATATTTGAATGATTTTGAATTTTTGAATTTTGATTTGTCTATTCTTCCATTTTCAATTTTATATTTTGGTTTTCGATATTTCGGGATTTTCATTGGACCCACTATTATTATGATTATATTTTTTCAAAGTTTCAATGTTTCAAATTTTCAATTTTTCGACAAAGCGATATTTCGATTTTTCAGCTTTCTATGTTTTGAATATTTTTTGAATCACCCAATTTTCAATTTTGCGGTTGTTGCATTTTTCTATTTTCGGCTTTTCGAATATTTGATTCCTTGATTCATAAAATTTTCGTTTTTCGATTTCTCTGCTCCGACAACTCTCAAAAATTTTAAAATTTAAAAGAAACATCATCACATTAAAATATCTGCAGCGCACTTTAATCCGCTACCGAAATAAACACTCCTGTACTTTTCCTCGACTTTGAAACCCAAATGTCAAGTATTTTATTATTGCAGCGGTTTTACTTTTATATGACTCAAACTAGAGTAAAATTTCGTAAGTGCCCTTCAGTCTTATCGCAAGATAAAAATTTCGAAGTGGTACTTTGAGACGAAAAATTTAGTTATTTACAAAACTTCAAAATGAAAGAAGCTGTATTTATTTCCGCCTTCCTCATTTTTGCAACGTATGGAAATGTACTTAGATCTTCTGTACTAACACCGCAGTCTTTACCCAGTAAGTCACTACTTTTTTTTTAAATAACATAATTTTAGCGACTAATTATTGTTTCAGAACCACGAATTCTCAACGGTCAGCAAGCCACACTGGGACAGTTCCCTTGGCAAGTAGCAATTCTGACAATCAACTCTTTATTAAACCAAACTACTTTCTGTGGCGGTGCTCTAATTAGTGAAGAATGGGTACTAACATCGGCGCACTGCATAGACGGGTAAGAACAATCAGGTGATCGTAGTACCTACAACTCACCCTGATCACAGTTCTGTCTATTCCGTCGTTTATTCGGGAACCGTTGACCTCAACGACCCTCAAAGAACCCTATCGTTGGCAGAAACCCACATAGTGCATGAGAACTTCACCGTGGACTTTTTCTCCTACGAGTACGACATAGGTTTGATTAAACTAAACGAGCCTTTAATTTTTGATGGTACGACGACGATTAACACCCCTTGAAGATTTTATTCTATACTTAATTTTAGAAACCACCAAGTCTATTTCGTTGGCTGAAGAAGAACTAGAAGCTGGTACTGAAGTGACGATCAGTGGTTTCGGACACACCTCCGGTGGTACGAAAATTGCGTTTCAGTTGGTTTCAAGTTTAATTACACATGTTTTAGAAGATGGAAACGACACCAATACTCTTTTAAACTATATAGTCGTTCCAACGATGAATACGTCAGAGTGTGGAAGATATTTGTATGAAGCTGATACTCCGGGTATTATTTGCACGTTCTTTAATAACGGGGATGATAGTGTGATATATAATCCCTGTATTGGAGATGGGGGCAGTCCTTTGGTTGTTGATGCTGGTACTAACCCTGTACATGTGGGATCGTTCAGTTTTCTGTCAAGTTTTGGGTGTGACGCTAGTTATCCTGCGGCACATACAAGAACTGCGTCGTACCGTGAATGGATTAAGGAAAAAACTGGAGTATAAGTTTTAGTTTTTTATTTTTTAGTGTAAATTAAAGTGAAAAAATAAAGAAAAAAATATCTGTGAGGGTTTCTCCCCATTGGAGTTATCTCAGCTTAATCATGTGATTAATAGGCTTCGGATCTTTGCTTTTTTAAAATGCCAAATTTATCGTTAGAGACCTAAAGTGTTAATTACACGACCTAACTGTAAATTTTAAAAGGCTTAAATAGGATTTCACGACCAACGAAGCATAAAATAATGGTCACTTTCGTTCGTGAGTAACGATGGTCCGGACATGAATTATTTTGCTTTCCAACATCTTTCGATCAATTGTTCCGTATAAAAAATTTCATCACTTTTTCAAATAAAATACTCTTAAAAAAAAGATATTGTTGTTGAGTGACATGTAACTGGCATAATAATAAAGACGTGCTATTTTTGTTAACTGATATTTTTTTCATAAATGTCGCAAAATGATTAAATTTGTCTAATCATCCCCACCAATAATGTGATGACGTCACTTCAAATTTATGCATAGTAAATGGGTTTTAAATTTTATACAGTAACATAGTCCTACACATGTAGTTTATGACTCCGTGTTGAGTTTTTATCCGAAACGTCCAGATTTTTGGAATCAAAATCAAAATTATAAAACAATATTTTGCAATTTAATTTTGAATTTGCAAAATCGAATACTTTGAAATCTTGCAGATGTTTTAAAATCATGATAAACATATACATTTTTAATGAAAATATATTTGCTTATCCCCTCTAAAAAATTTATGACGTCACCTCAAAATTTTGCAGAATAAATCCTATCTTAAATGTATAAAATATGATGAGTTTTATACTTGTGATTTATCACTGCATTAATATTTTTTAGATTTGGTTGTACAGGGTGTCTCAAAAAAGTTAATGACTGATTCAATTTATTTTATTGAAGAAATCAAGAATAACAAAACTGAATACTTTGAAATATTGTAGATGTTTTGAAGTTTTTGTAAGCATGCTAACTTTTTCGAAAATTTGATTAATCAAATATGCGCAAAATCAAAAATCGGAAAAACTGAAATTCACTAATGCAAAAAACAGAAAATCGAAAAATACGAATCGTAAAAATCGAAAATCTAAAAATGGCTAATCAAAAAATCGAAAATTCAATGAATCAAATACCTAGGTCGATCGAAAAGTGGAAATTCACAAACCTCAAAAATCGAAAATTGAAAAACGGGAAAACCAAAAAATCGAAAAGTCAAAAATTTGTAATATTGAAAATCAAAAAAATCAAAAACAAAAATAAAACAAATCGGAAATTAAAAAAATCAAAATATATAAAGTAAAAAAAATTGCAAAGCCTAAAAACTGAAACGAACAGAAAAATCGAAAAAGCAAAAAATTGGAAAAACAAAAATTCGAAAAATCTAAGATCGAAAAAGTGGAAAATCGAAAATCTGAATAAAGAAACTTGGAAATTCTGAAAATTGGAAAATCGATAGCCAAAAAATCGGAAAGTAACAAAATTGAAGTCTAACAGTTGAGAATGGAAAAATTGAAAAACCGAAAATTCTAAAAATCGACAATTTAACAAATTGACAATCGCAAAATTTAAATTGAAAAATTGAACATAGAAAAATCGATGAATTGACAAATCGAAAATTCGACTACTCAAATTTTCTAAAAATCGAAAAATTATAAAACTGAAAAATCCAAAATTCTAGTCATCGAAAGTCTGAAAACTGAAAATCGAAAATTCTGAAAAGCGGAAAATAGAATATCGAAAAATTTAAAAGAAAGAAAATTGAAGTCTAAAAACCGAAGAATGGAAAAATTAAAAATCAAAAATTCGAAAAATCAAAACCGAAAAATTCAAAGATTTAAAAAGAAAATCGAAAAATCAAAAATCTGAAAATTGAAACTCGAAAATTTGGAAAATCGAAAAGTAAAAAAATTGAAGTCTAAAAGCTGGAAAATGGAAAACTGAACAATCGAAAATTCGAAAATCAAATATCGAAAAATCGAAAAGCCGAAAAATCGAAAATTTGATAAATCAGATATGCGAAAAACAGAAAATCTGAAAATACAAAACTGGAAAATTAAAAATCTAATAATGGAAAAACCGAAAATCGAAAATTCAATGAATCTAATACGTAGGTCGATCGAAAAACTGGAAATTCACAAATCTGAAAAATCGAAAATTTGCAAGATTGAAAAACCGAGAATTGAAAAGTCAAAAAACCGAAAAATGGAAAAATCAAAAATCGAAAAATAGGAAAACCGAAAATTCGAAAATTCATAATATTGAAAACTCTAAAAGTCGACAATTCAAAAATCAAAAAACTGGAAAAAAATAATCGAAAAATCGAAAAGTAAACAAATTGCAAAGCCTAAAAACTGACGAACAGAAAAATCGAAAAATCGTAAAATCAAAAAGTGGAAAATCGAAAACTGGAAACTGAAAAATCGAAAAATTAAAAAATCGGAAATCGAAAAATGAAAAAAAAATCGAAAAATCGAAAATCGGAAAATGGAAAAACCGAAAAATCGAAAATCGAAAACTCGAAAATTCGATGAAACAAATACTCGAAAAAGCGAAAAGTAAAAAAATTGCAAGGCCTAAAAATTGAAAAATCAAAAAATCGGAAAAATGAAAATTGAAAAAACAACGATCGAAAAAAAATCAAAAATCGAAAAGTGGAAAATCGGAGTCACAAAATTGAAATCTAAAACCTACAAATTGCAGAACCATAAAAACTGAAACAAACAGAAAAATCGAAAAACCACAAAAGCGGAAAAACGAAAATCGAAAAATCGCAAATCGAAAAATCGTAAAATCAGAAAAATCATTATTTTTTTTTGAGTCACCCTGTATGTATAAACAAATCCAAAAAATATTAATGGAATGGTAAATCACAAGTATAGACTCATCATATTCTGAACATTTTAGATAGGGTATTTATAAAATTAAAACTAATTCAGAGTAAGAATTTATAAAATTAAAACTAATTCAGGGAATTTGGTCAACACGTAAATTTCGTTGTAGTTTGAACCTACCTACAAATTCTGCCTTTGGACGATTTCGACCGCCTCCTTCGGTGACGACCGGCAAAAATGATCCCCCCATAGGCTCAAAACATTTGCGTGCGATTGTACAAAGCATTAAAAATCACTTTAAAGTTATTACTGATGCAATAGAACAGTTAGAAACTATAGGTTTCAAATTCAACCAAAGTATGGAAATTGTGGAAAAAGTGTATACATCTTTAAAAAACACACCAGGAAAGGTGGGGGAAATGGCGTTCCAAAAATTATGTTCTCTATTAAAAAAGTATCCAGGATACGATTTTATATGTTATAAGTATGTATACGTAATTTGCGGTAATGGAAATGCTACCAACAATACATACATACTTCTTGTGATGTGGAACGCACGTTTTCAAAACCTAAAAGTGTTTTAAGCGATCAAAGGTATAAATTTACAATCGAAAATTTAGAGAAATATATAGTTTGCTTTTGTAACTCATTTTAAATACCTGAATTAATATTTTATTTTTTGTTAAATGCGACTTGCTTTAATTTGATCGCCATTTTTTTGCGATAACTTAGAATTAGTGGACGTAACTATAGATCGTGCTTATTTAATGATTTTTTTGTTTGTTACACAAAATATTTGTTTCTATCATGTTTTGTTTAATGTTTTTTTTAAATATATATTTTTTTGATGTATGCTTTTTCGTAGAGCAAATATTTTTTCCTTCTAAATTAAAATTTATATAACCTAATTCGGCAATTTTGGGACCTAAAAGTGTCTTCTTTTATTAACTTTTATTAACTTATTCGACTGTACTTTCACCGTATCAACGTGGATTCCTTCCTGGTAGAAGTACAGACACAATTCTTGCTATAGATATAGAATTTATTATAGACGCTTTTGAAGATGGCTGCCAGGTTGGCTCGGTCTATTTAGATTTTAGCAAGGCATTTGATCGTGTAAACCACGCCCTTCTAATGAAAAAACTTTGATATATAGGTATTTGTGGTCAATTTCACACATGGATTTCATCGTATATTACCAATCGTATTTAAATAATTTCGTTTAACGGATTTCTCTCTTAGTACCTTCCGGAGTTTCCCAGGGCAGTCATCTTGGTCCCATACTCTTCCTACTATTTATTAATGGTCTTACAGTATCCCTCTCTACATCACATCTACTGCTTTTTGCCGATGATCTAAAAATTTTTTTCAAGATAAGTTCCACTGAAGATTGTTATCGGCTCCAAGCAGCCCTGGATTTTATTACGAAGTGGTGTATTAATAACAATATGATGCTTAACAATGATAAATGCAAACGTATAACATTCTCTAGGAAACTATAGAACTATGAATTCGCCTACACTATAAATAAACACCTTTTGGAAAAAGTTAACGAAATTAAAGATCTAGGAATAATTTTTGAATCTGAATTACGCTTTAATAAGCACATTGATTATGTTATTGATAAGTCATACCGTGTAAGTGGCTTCATAAAAAGGATGACCACAGATTTTCACTGCGTTGCTGCTGTTCGCAAGCTTTTTATTACATTAGTTAGACCTATCTTAGAGTACGACATAATTATATGGTTTCCTTTTTATGAAGTCCACGTAACAAGACTCGAAAGAATGCAAATAAAAATGTGTAATTTTTTCATTTTCAAGATGGGACTTAATAAATCTCACTATAACTACGATTAGAGACTTAATCTAACTGAATAAGAAGCACTGTTGAATCGCGTTTTGAAATTTAAGCTACGATTTGGGTTTAAACTCTTGAACGATCAAATAGTTTGTGGACAGCTTTTGTTGCTTTTAAATTTCAAAACGCCTTTAGTTAATACCAGAAATCGGGATTTACTTGTTTGTATCTTTAGAAAAACTAATCTTGGTTTAAATAGCTCTGTTGTCAATAAAATTGCAACTGCTATTAACAGTTTACCAATTATATACCTATTAGTTATTTTTAACTGTAAGCAATAGTATATTGTTTTATAAGGAGCAAAAATGAGACTTTTCGTGGCGAATCTGTACGTTTGACGGCCGAGCGCGCGAGGCCGGCAATTACAGATGAGCCACGAAAAGTCATTTTTCTCCGTATAAAACATGCTATTTTTTCTTCAAACGTGAAACTGGATCCAATTTATTGGACATGAAAATGTTGAAATCTAAGAAATTGTGACAAAAATCACTTAGAACTGATTCTTAAAGCACTAATACGATAACCAACTTGTATTCTAAGGTCTAAAACATTCAGACACTTGATCATAAATCATAATCACCAAACAGGTAGGTACCTACCCCCTTAGATCATATAATAAATAGATACCACCATGCCGTGTTCTTTCCCTAGGACAGCCTGTGACGACATCCTCCTGTCACACATCTCTCTCGTGCATGGAGGGATTACAATGAA